ACTGATGAAGCCACTGTGTGGCGAAACGTTTCCTCAATAAAGATACCCAAGAGTTGCACATGTGTCTAATTTATCAGGAATTATCTTCTTGATGTAAGGAATTATCTTAATATAAAGAATTCAAGTCACTTTCCTCTTTGGATCAAACCTGTTTGCTTCACATGCCCAAGCACTGTGTACTAACTTATAAATTTAGCTCTCACCTCACACACTGAGTGTCCATGGTTCAATCCCCAGTATGGGTAGAAATGTTGGGCGTGTCTCCTTATACCTGTTTTTCCTGTTCATCTAGCAATAAGTAGGTATCTGGGCATGAGTCGACTGGTGTGGGTTGCATCCTGGGGGACGAGATTGAAAGACCCCAATGGAAATGACAGAGACAGTCCTCAATGATGCACTGACTTTTTTTTTTTGGGGGGGGGAGGGTAACCTGGGAGGCTAACCCTGTGGGTTAAAAATCCGAACAAATCTTATCTCTTAATCTTATGACTAAAAATACTCTTGCTGCACCTTCCCCTAATGGCGGTTCGGTATCTGACTAGATGCACTCTTCTTATATTAATGCCGATGTTTATATGTTAACACATATGTTTAAGTAAAATGATAAATTTTTACAAGTAATTCACTGCATCTGGAAATAATCTTTATAATGTAAATGAGAAAGATGACTCTGTGGTTTTTGTTGACCCTGATAGCTAAATTTGCAAGGTCATTAGTTTTGAGCACAAAAACCTAAATTTAGCGTTCAGCGGAACGCCACTGATCGGTCGCTCAAACGGTTTCCTGAAACACTTGAACGTGAATAAAAAAAGCGTAGCTGCAGGAGTTTGAGAAAGGCCTGTATCTTTGAGGAGGACTTGTTAGTCACTGTGACAGTGTACAGCCGGGACACTGCTATTCTCCCATGCCATTACTGCGGCATTTATCCGACACAGGAGAAGTACTGGAGTGAGACTCCCTTCACCTGGAAACGTCCCTGGGCTTTCATTCTTGAATAGTTCCTGAATTTGGATTTTGAAGGGATCGTTGAGTCAACAAAAGACCTTTTAAATGATGTTGTGGCAGGGCTAGTGATGACCATTAAAAAAACGGGTCTGCATAATGTGTTGAAAGCTCTGAACTCGGGTAATATTTCCATGATTCATTCTCTATCAGACCTCACGTACAGAATACCTATCACTATGCACACTGAAGCTGGGCGACACCTTGATGGCTCTGGGTGGCAGGGACTATGATCTAGCTTACAAAATATATGAGATGGCTAGGAAAAAAGTTCTGCCAAAAACGTATGACAGTATACTCAAAAAAACTAACCTTGAACAATTCTATCATTACCTGGCGACCCATAAATACACGCGAGCCTATGAGGAATATTACTACAGGGTGTCTCTAGTTAGGCTAGCAGGAGTAATGATCAAAAATGTTTTTTCTACTAATTTTTAGATGCTAACACAGACAAAATTGGTAAGTGCCCAGAGGAGGGATATTTTCCAAGAAATGCTTGGTGAGCCAATAATAAGCAATAAAGTGTAGAAGTCAGATGGTACTCTGGTACTGGTAAACATCACGCCTGATGATGCTCTTATGTACTCCTGTCATCCCTTATTCAAGTTCGATCCTCAGAAAGGTAGACTTACCTATTTCATGGATGTTATAGACCCACCAGGTTACTTTAAAATAGAAAGGGGCTAACAGAAAGAATATGAAACATACAAACTGTTACTAGATGAGTACAACAGGAAGTTGAAAAATTTCTATGAGACAGACTATGGTATTCTCAAGGACACAGTTATGGAGATGGTCATTGGTGATGTATAAGAATGCCCTACCTGTGGAGGGTAAATAAGCTCCACCATCCAAGAAATTGAGCTGAGAATTTATCATAAAGACTGGAAAGACATTTCTAAGTATTACGCCGCAACTTCCTTCGCCGGATTTGGAGTATCCTTCACGGTAACTAAACCAACAGATGAAGAAGAATACAGGCTTCGACGAGGCTTACACATCAGGTCCATAGTTTTAAGAGAAATGGCCCCAGAATTCTATTACCAAGCCAAGTCCTTTATTACTGAGTTTTAGCTCATTGCTCCCTGTAAGAATGATAGACTGTGTGCCACCACAGAAAAGGATCAATACACCTTAGTTCCTGAATAGTACATAAAAAATAGAGCCATGAAGTATGTGTATGATGCCTTACCTGACACACTAGTCACTCTCAGGTGCCCCACCAAAGTCTCTGACTCAAATATTACATGGTTGAAAAATGGCATTGAGCTTAGCCCATCTACGCACCTGATTTTCAGTGGACCTGTCATTAGAATTGGCAGGGCGAGGTCTAATGACACGGGCAACTACAGCTGCTACCTATACACTGTCCGCACCGTGTCTGAATACATTCCTTTAGGATTCATCTACTTGAGGGTGTATGGCAAAACAGCCTGGACTAACTATGTCATTGTATGTTATGACTTCATAGCCTTGGTAATTATCTGCATGTTGACTTTGTTTCCGCTAAACTTTATCGTACCCATCCATGCCTACTTTGAAACCCTCCTCCATCGCCAGTTTGTCTTGTAAAATATCAAGCGGCAGCTGAAGGAAGCTTTGCTGTCTGGAGACATGGCCTATTACTACCGGGAGGTGCTCATAAAGAAACGGATCCAGATGATAGTCAACGCCATTTACAAGAAAGATGTACTGGACATGTGCAGAGTGGAGGAAAAGCTTAGCTACATCAGTAACCTCACCAAGGAGGAGGTCAAGTGGCTGAAGATCCTCAGTAACGAGATTTGGAAACAACAGAAGGATTAACAGTGAGAAGCCTTTGTACAGTGCTCCCCAGATGCCTCAAGGGCTCTAACCTATCTATCTTCATGTGTCAGATTCCTTATACAGGCAGGCCCCACTTTGCAGCACTTTACAGCATATCGCTAAAACAGCGATTTTCAGTAATACTCATTCTTCATTTATTCAGACTTCCTACACTAAATATATTCACCACTCACTGTAAGTTAAGGATGAAAATATATTAATGTGTGTACTGTATATGCATTTTTAACCCTTTGACTGTTTTGGTCGTATATATACATCTTACAAACCAGTGTTTCGGACGTATATATATGTATACTAAATAATTCTAGCGGCTTCAAATCAAGCAGGAGAAAGCTGGTAGTCCCACATGTGCGAGAATGGGTCTGTGTGGTCATTGTGCACTGTATAAAAAAAATCCTGCAGCACGCAGTGCATAATGAGAAAAAAAACTCCAACCTGTTTTTGGATTAAAATGCCAACTTTGAGGTGCATTTTCATATAGTATTTATTGTTGTATTCTCGTTTTCCTGGTGTCATTTGATAGAATGGAAAGCATATTACAGAAATAGAGATAATTTTGATTAGTTTCACGATGAAAACGACCTTGAAATTGAGCTCAAAATAGCGGAAATGTTCGATTTTTACCAATGTTCAAGAGTAAGCAAATCACGCCACACGTCCAATATACGTCAACTGGGGAGTCTAATATTCTTTCACTAGTGCACTGATATGATTCATACCAATTTTACAATAATGAAGTAGTCTGCATAACAGTAAATCTTCTATTTTTTGTGTGAATACAAAATCAAAATAGAATGCAAGAGTAATATAAGAGGGGCCTGGAGATGTGACTAATGAATAGAGGATATGTTATTTTAGTGTAAAGAATGTCTGCAGTGTTTATTCTGGATCCTATTTTGAAATTGGCATCTTTTTTAAATTGCATGAAATTGGCCAAATTGCCAGTTTCTGAACACTTTATTGGGTAGTTCAAATCGTTAAATGGGTGGTTTCTTGTACACAATTGATAGAAAAAAATTCAGTTCTAAAGAAATAGCTATGAGTTTGGTTGACTGGAACAATGGAATTGGCCAAAAATAGGGCTTCAAGTCAGCGAAATCGCCGATGCATATATATCGCCGAGATCGCTAACTTCGCGGGAGCATAATTCCGTGATTTTTCGACCAAATTTCGTACTTTTGGTGTCATTACCATTGGGAAAAGATTCTCTATCATTTTATAAGAAAAAATAATTTTTTTTCCAAAAATTTTTCAACACAGAATTACAGTTTCAGAAAGGGGCTTGCGACAGTCAAAGGGTTAAGGCCTAGCTGTATTGCTCACTTAATGTATGATAGTGTAAACATCAGGCTTTTATATGCGTTTGAAAGTGAAAAAAGGCTATGATTCACTTTACAACAAATTTTGCTTCACAGCAGTAGCCCAGCACCTAACCTGCTGTAAAAGCAGGGCCCTCCTGTATAGTGGATTAATTTTGTCATTTTATTTTCCATGTTATCCAATGTGCTGAGTTGTTCAAAATTGAGTTAAGGTTTATTACTGAGATTAAGATCAGTAGTGAGTTGACCGGTGTCCTGTGAAGACATACCTAGTGGATACTCAATGATAACTGGAATAATATAGTAGTACTTGAATTATTATTATTATTATTATTATTATTACAGTATTATTATTATTATTATTATTACTGCTACTACATCTCAAAGGGAAGAAGCAGAAACCTTCCTCCCTAACACTTGTCCCAAGGAGCTCACTCTCTCTCACTCACTCTCTCTCCTCTTTTCTCTCTCTGTTTTCTCTCTGTTTTTCTCTCTCATGCACACATAGTTCACCTATTTTTCTATAAGGAGACAGAGACTATGAGGAAATCTCATACATCTCATTCAAGTCTTTAAGATGACTTCAAAACTCAAATTGAACAACCATTTGAAATGCTGAATGAGTTTCTAACTCAAAACAATGGAATGAAAATATGAGGCAGAATATGCAACAGTATCATATTCAAGTTTTTTTGGCACACAGAATTCTAGCAGAATGAAATAAACTACTCTACTGGCTAAATGCTGTAAGCACAAACACAATACAAGTCCTGTAAAGGTACTATGTATTTTTTAACACTCTGGTTGTCTCCCACTGAGGCAGGGTGACCTAAAAAGAAAAGAAAAAAAAATTCTTTTTACATTTAGTGATTTATATAGGTATTCAAAATACTATATTCATTTTAACAAAAATAATCGGCAACTTCCACCCTTTCATTTTAACAGAAAAATAATGGCAACCTCCATCCTCTCTTAAGTTTTCTCTGCAGCTGCTTTCTTTTAGACTTATATGCTCTTTTTCTACAAACATTATGGTTTTCCTCATCATCTATTTTATGATCATACAGTTCTTCTGCAACAATGTGACTCCAGTCTGGCTTAAATGTAATATTATTGAACTTTAGCCAGGCTGTGTAGCGGAACCTGCTTGTCCTCACGGAATATCCCATAATAGTCGTGTCATGCATTGGAGGTTGATCACTGTCTGGGTGCACCGTGGTTCTGGTCCTGGTCGAGGATACTGACTGAATGCTGCCTCTTTTACCAAAACGTTACTTTGTAAATGAGAGGTGCATTTGTTTGCTTCAGGTGTTTTTTGCTGCTCTTGCCCACTCTTTATCTCACTGTTGATGGAGACATTAAACATTTGTCCATTCCATAAAGAGTCGAGTATAGGAGCTAAGCTAGTTCCTTCTGTGCATATTTCCACATCCTTTGACACCTCTGGACAATCTGAGAGAACAGGCAGTCCTGCTAAGTCAACCAGAGTTGGAAATAAATCAACCAATTCAACCATACCATTATAAAATGTAAAGTTTTCATTCATGTGTATTCTTTTAAAACTATTTCTTATAAATTTTATACCTGATGCACTTTTTCTATGGGCCTTTAATTCAAATTTTCCACTGATTATCGAATTTTTAAATAGTCTCTGACTTGATGAAGAAAAATTCTTTTCTGCCATGAATGGATTTAGGTTTACATTGTGTAACTTTCTGAGGACATCATTATAGCCAAGAAATGAATAGTCAGTATGAGAATTCATCTTGCTTATAATGAATGGAACTCTTGTAGCAACTTCAAAATTGCTATATTTTGACCATTCCTGATGTTCACCAAGTGACCATCCTGTAAAAATAAAAATATTTCCACATTAAAGGGAGAAAACATATAATCTTTTCATAAGTGACAGTAAACGTAGGGAAGAATACCAGTTAAAAATACTGTATGTGTTCTTTATATTATATGATACATACTATACATTTGTACAGTATTACTAAATTTAAAGAGAAAAACTTTCATTTTTCTTTTTAAATCACCCTGCCTTGGTGGGATATGGCCATTTCATGGGTCTGTATTAGGATAAATCTGCCCAAAATGCACCTCATGTTACTGGCTTTCTTTTGTGCTTAACAATATTTTATTACATGTAAACTACATATTGTATATTTCAGAAAAAAAATAAAGTTTGTTCTATAATAAATACTAACCATGATCTCCAATAAAAGCAACCAGTGTATCAGGAAACGAAGTGCTGACAGTTGACAGAAGATCTCCAATGAGAGCATCAGTGTAGGTGGTAGCTGCATAATATCCCTGCCTAATATATCTGTAATGTGGAAGTAATATAGATTTAGATTTAATGTAGATATAGAAATATAGGTTTAGAAATTTAGAAATATAAATTCAGAAAAGCCTATAACTGTGCAGCATTTTGGATATACCTAAAATAAAAATACAACTTAATGAAAAGTGGGCTGTAGGGTTGTATCTGCAAGGAAGTTAATGCTAATACTTTTAAGAGTATCTAAAAATATAGAATATAAGAACAGTATTTATAATAGTATATGACTCACTGGTAGGATTTTATTTAAAAGAATAAAGGAGGGATCTCAATTCACATGATCGTTTGAACTTTGTGTGCACTTGACTGATTAATAAGAACATGTTTTCTTTGGACCATCCCACCTTAGTGTAAAATGGCCAATGTGGTAATAGAGAGCCTTGTGATTTTTGTATGAATGAAGTAGTATCATGTTCCGGTAGAATTCTTTGGCATTTCTTTTATATTTTATTATTGTTCTACACCTTTTAAGAACTTTTTGGTGGGTTCCATATTTTTAAACCTTTCTGCTTAAATTCAGTTGTACATATTGTATATCAGAATTTTTTTTTACAATATACACACTGAGACAGACTTGAGTCCTGGAGGTGAGAAGTACAATGCATGCATGTTAGAGGGGTTTGGGATGACATCTAAACTGTTATATCTGGCTATCTCTGTAAAGACAGTGATTATGTGTGAATGATGTGAAAGTATTTCCTTTTTTTTTGGGGGGGGGTCATCCTGCCTGGGTGGGAGACAGCCAACGTGTTAAAAAAAAAAAAAAACACCGAGAAGGATAGAAAGTATCAACCACCCTCATAACCAAAATATAAATTTTGTCCCAAAAGAATTTGTTTATTCTCATTCAAGCAAAATTAATTAATGAGCCAAGTCATCCATAACTGGCCTGCAGTGCCCATACCTTTATACAGTATGGCGAGTGGGTTTCTTACCCAGGGTGGTTCCCTGGACCAAAGAGCCCCATCATCAGAAAGTTTGCCCTAGTTGGCACAAAGACCTTTCCCCCGTGCTCCTCAGCTCAGCCACCAAGTGATACAACAGGGCAGAGGCCCAAGAGTGACTCCTCTGAAGAGCACTTTCCACAGGGCCTGTTAAAGTAACAGTGTAACAGAAACCCCCTACTTCACCAAGACAAGGTTACTGCCTCACCAGGTAATATCTAATGATTAAATTGTAGTAGGATTACACCAATAAAAACAGTGTGCCATAAAAAAGGAGACATTAGTAACTGCAGGATGAAGACATAAGCCAGGAAAAGAGCAAATAAACATAATTCTCACAAATACTGTAAATATGGCTAAGGTATTGTCTGTACCTACTGACTTGTATGAAATGGGATGGACTAGTTACATGTCCTGTTATGACATTTGTCTGCATAAGGAAGGAGGGATGATTAATGAATATAATATATACATGTACCAGTAGAGTAAGTCCATATTAAGTAATTTTTTTTTTTAACAAGTCGGCCGTCTCCCACCGAGGCAAGGTGACCCAAAAAGAAAGAAAATCCCCAAAAAGAAAATACTTTCATCATCATTCAACACTTTCACCTCACTCACACATAATCACTGTTTTTGCAGAGGTGCTCAGAACACAGCAGTTTAGAAGCATATATGTATAAAGATACACAACATATCCCTCCAAACTGCCAAGATCCAGAACCCCTCCTTTAGAGTGCAGGCATTGTACTTCCCATTTCCAGGACTCAAGTCCGGCTATATAAAAATAACCGGTTTCCCTGAATCCCTTCACTAAATATTACCCTGCTCACACTCCAATAGCTCGTCAGGTCCCAAATACCATTCGTCTCCATTCACTCCTATCGAACACGCTCATGCACGCCTGCTGGAAGTCTAAGCCCCTTGCCCACAAAACCTCCCTTACCCCTTCCTTCCAACCTTTTCGAGGATGACCCCTTCCCCGCCTTCCTTCTATTCCTATCTATTGCAAATCCATATTAAGTCATTTATCTACTGCAATTTATCTTTCTTGCAAATACTAATGATACCTGGCACATGTTGAAGTTTGTATCATCACTGTAGATCACATTTGATATTTTTCATAAATTTTATCTATCAGTACACTGCATTTAAATATTTTATTTATTTTTCTACCCACATTAGACAATCTACTTAATTCTGTTTCTTTGTGGCATCTAAAGTGGGTTTATTTTATATATAAATATTATACATGTTTTTTCCTTACACCTGTTGTCCCTGTTCACCTATCAGTAAGTAGGTACCTGGGTGTTAGTAGACTGGTGTGGGTCACATCCTGGGTGTTAGTAGACTGGTGTGGGTCACATCCTGGGTGTTAGTAGACTGGTGTGGGTCACATCCTGGGTGTTAGTAGACTGGTGTGGGTCACATCCTGGGTGTTAGTAGACTGGTGTGGGTCACATCCTGGGTGTTAGTAGACTGGTGTGGGTCACATCCTGGGTGTTAGTAGATTGGTGTGGGTCACATCCTGGGTGTTAGTAGACTGGTGTGGGTCACATCCTGGGTGTTAGTAGACTGGTGTGGGTCACATCCTAAGAGGTGTTAGTGTACCTTAGATAAAGCTTGGCTTTGAAATAATCTGAAGTATGATAGCAGGTCTTAACCTGTAAATTCAACTGTGTATTAAAAAAAATACAATAATAACCTGGCATAGAAGTCTGGAAGGGGTCCATATGGAAAGGAGACATTTAATGCAGCAATATCTTCACGATATCTGAGGTCATTCCAGGGATTCCAGGCAACATCAGGAAGACCTTGAGGTCGGCGGTCATTAGGCGCAAGAGGGACATTCTCAATAGGGTAGAAATCTGGAAAATATATTTCAGACAATAGCAGTAGAAGAAAATCCTCTCAAGCGAGGTTCATTTATGCCAGCGAAAGGCACCTAATCCAAGGAATTGGATTGAACATAAATGCCTCCCAGGCACTATATGACTCCTATGGGTTTAGTGCTTCCCCATAAATATAATAATAATAATAAAAGAAAATACATTATCCATTTATCAAATGAAATGTGTTATACAATTACTGTACCTAAGAACATCTGTATAATGAACACAGCAACGTCATCACAGGTGGACGGAACCTACTAGTGGAAGTAGGTCATGCCCATAAGGCATGACCTACTTCCACTGGTTCCTGTGTGAAGGTATGCCTCTGTATTAGTGTAAAAGACTACAACACAGGTGAAATATCTCACTAGTAAACATAACCAGGTGTTGCACCTCTGTCCTGTTTATTAGATTTATTTGTACTGTGTCTGCTTCTACAAATGAAAAATGTTTATTGTTGAACAATAATAAATAACAATAATATTTTTTATTTCCTGACAGTAAGTAATTAAATTTTGAAATAATTGCAAAAAATTGGGTAAATCTATTCTCTGAAAATTTTGTATTACAGTAGAACCCCCGTATCCATGGATTCATTATCTGCAGTTTCAGTTATCCACAGTTTATCATGGTCAGAAAATAACCCTTAATTTTCTTAATATTGACCCCAAAGTGCAAAAGTAGTGATGCTTTCAGTTCTTCAAAGCCTAAAAGAAATGTTTCCCATCAGTGAAAAAGTGCTAAATCTAGATTTATTTTGCATAACTTATCAATTAAACTTTATTATAGGTATGTATGTAAACGAAAAATGACTTGTGTATAAGGTTTGCTACTATCCGCGGATTCAGGTATCCATGGTAGGTCTTGGAACATATCTCCTGCATATATGGGGGGGCTACTGGAGTTTACCTGGAGAGAGTTCCAGGGGTCAATGCCCCCATGGCCCGGTCTGTGACCAGGCCTCATGGTGGATCAGGGCCTGATCAACTAGGCTGTTACTGCTGGCTGCACGCAATCCAACGTTTAAACCACAGCCCGGCTGGTCAGGTACCGACTTTAGGTGCTGTATTATATATATATATATATATTTTAAGATACATGCACTATCATTTTCTAAATGAGGTGGAACACCTACCAACACTTACAATGTGATATGTGATCTTGTATACATATATTCATTTTCTAGTTTCTCATGAAAGACTATTTCAAAATTTAGACCTTGTTATTTGCAGTTTCTTTGATGAAGCTTGGCATTCACATCTCACCTAAAAACTGCTGAGGAAATTTAAGAGGAATGTGAGGCTTATGGTAACCAACAGCCATAAAAAATGGCTGATTTATAGCATTCTTTGTTTTGGTCTTTGCCTGCAATGCCCAACTTCACAACCAAGCGGTTGCAAATTCTGTTGTTTCTATGTCTGGTAGGCTTCCACCAGGCTGCTGATCCACCTGGAAAAACAATAATAATATATCACTATCTAATAACAGATGACAGTTCTCTGCATACTAATTAAGAGTATAGATACTACAGTGCTCTAATTTATAAATACTATATACAGGCAGGCCCTGCTTATACAGCAGGTTAGGTTCTGGATTACTGCTGTAATGATACCCCTCAAGGAAGGTTCCTTCATGTTGGTGAGGGGCTCTTGATTTAGGGAATTGGATCTGTGCTCCAGTTCCCCAAATTAAGCCTGAATGCCTTCCACATCCCCCCCCCAGGCGCTGTATAATCCTCCGGGTTTAGCGCTTCCCCCTTGATTGTAATAATAATGCTGTAATGATATTGATAAATTTATTTCAGCATGTTATAATGTTTGTATAAAGAAGAATGACATTAGGGTGTAATGACGAAAGCCCCTTTATATGCAGAGCATTTTGGGCGAACTTAAGACTAACTTAAGATTAATAAGGCAATAACAATATAAATAATTTTGTACATACAGTCACTTAGGTGAGTGTAAGTTTAAATTTAAGAGTTTACCATGAATAAAAGGGAATTGAATATTCTATTACGTAGTTCATGCTATATGGCTTTAATAAGTTTAATAGAGAGGGATTGTAGGTTTGCTTATTAAAGCAGTAGCCTGGAACCTAACCTGCTGTATAATGGGTGTTTTGATGTTAGTCTGTGGAAAGAGTCCTAGATATAGAGAACTGAGAGACTTTCTACCTGAATGGGGCAGTATATGTTAGTGTGTAGTGCACCATCTGATCCTAAACAAACAGGATCTTGCTTGTGGGCTTGAGTTGGAGGATGATATGCTGACTCTGACCAACTATATGGTTGATCATCACTGTAGTTGCTCACTATACCTGAAGATAGATAATTTGTTAAGAATAAGCTAATTTATATGAAAGTACTTTCCTGTATTACCACACAAACCTCATAACAAACTTTTGTTCACTGCCACTATGATGAACAATGAACATCTAAACCAGCAGTGAGATATCAACAATAGCTTCTAACAGCAATGTGTAATTAGTCTTCAAAAAAAACCATCTCTGTACCACTATGCTTTTTTCACTTACAGCATCATATACAGTACTGGATGTATTTATTGGATGTACTATATTTCCTCTATTTATTGATAATATTGACAGCAAAACATCTATGTAAAAAACTGACCAGGATGAAAAATCTTCCCAGCAGAGACTGTGTGGTAGCCATGTTCCTTGAAATACTGCGGTAATGTTGTAAAGTTACCAGCATGAGTCCGCCAGTAAAAGTGGACATCATACAACTTGGTGGTGTCTGGTCGTCGTGAGGTCAGAAAGGAAGTACGACTTGGACCACATAAGGCTTGCTGAAATTGAAATTAGGCTTTCTTCATTATCATTTATTGGTATATTAACCAAATTGTTAATTTTTTCACATTCATAATCTCACTGCAGTTGGAAAATATGATGAGTACAGTGGACCCCCGGTTAACGAGCTTTTTTCATTCCAGTAGTATGTTCAGGTGCCAGTACTGACCGAATTTTTTCCCATAAGGAATATTGTGAAGTAGATTAGTCCATTTCAGACCCCCAAACATACACGTACAAACGCACTTACATAAATACACTTACATAATTGGTCGCATTTGGAGGTGATCGTTAAGCGGGGGTCCACTGTATTTTGGTTCTTATCCATGCATTTCTTTCCTCTCAAGCTGATTTTTGCTCTTGTTTGTTTGTGGGTTTGTCTAACCACGTACTGTAGTACTTAATTCCTGAAATTGTCATTAATTTTTTTTGCAAGTTGTAAGTTACACTATATGTATTTCTTAAATTTTAATTTTACTCAAACAACATCTCCAATCAATATTATAGGATTATGCATTAGTCTCATATTTTCTTTATCCACTTTATTTGCACCTAAATTAGGTTTGTTTTCAAAATTCTCAATTTTCATTATTTTTTTCTATATGTAACATGCATTCATTTTACTTTTAATGTGTTGCATTTATATAGCGATACTGTACATATGTACAATACATATTTTTTTCAAATTTCTATTACCATGTTAGTATTCGTCCTAACTTCAGACTTCCCAAAATGTATTGCATAACTATGGGATTTTTCCTTTAAAAATTGAACATTGTAAACATACTCTTGGAAAATGAACAATCTGTTATTGAATAAATGTATTAATTACCACTTCCCAGGTTAATCACACACCTCTGCTCACTCATGTGCCTAATTTTATCTAGAAATCCTTTGGTCTTCCCTGACACTCATAGTACTCAAAAACCTATGAATGTTAAATTCAGTACATTTTATGTCACATCAAACTTACTTGTGCAAAAGCCCGAGTAAAGATTGTTCCATGATGTGCAAGTGTGTCAATATTTGGAGTTAAGGCCAATGTGTCCCCATAACATCCTAGGACTGGACGTAAATCATCTACAATAATTAGCAGCACATTTGGATGACTGAGATTACTGGTGACACTGTGGACTGAAAAAAATATCATAGTATTACTGTACTAGGCAGAGTGTTGAGTTTTTCACCTTCCATTTTATTGATGACACTGTGCTTCTGGGAGATTCTGAAGAGAAGTTGCAGAGGTTAGAGAAGGAAATTAAAAGTGAACATAGGAAAGGGTAAGATGATGAGGATAACAAAAAATTTAAGAAATGAAAAACTGGATATCAGATTAGAGAAAGGGTGTGGAGGTGAATATATTCAAATATTTGGGATTGAGAGGGGAATGTATGAGTATAGTGGTACTAATGCTCTTTTATGGGTATGAAGCATGAGAGGTGAATGTTGTAGCTGGAGGCAGTGGAGATGTGGTGTCTGAGGGCAATGTGTGATGTGAATATAATGCAGAGAATCTGTAGCTTGGAGATAAGAAGGTGTGGGGTTACTAAAAGTATTATCCAGAGGGATGAAAAGGGGTTGTTGAGGTGGTTCAGACATTTAGAGAGGATGGAACAAAATAGAATGACTTAGAGAGCATATAAATCTGTAAGTGGAAGGAAGGAGGGGTAGAATCATCCTAGGAAAAGTTGGAAGATAAGATAAGATTTCGTTCGGATCTTTAACCCCGGAGGGTTAGCCACCCAGGATAACCCAAGAAAGTCAGTGCGTCATCGAGGACTGTCTAACTTATTTCCATTGGGGTCCTTAATCTTGTCCCCCAGGATGCGACCCACACCAGTCGACTAACACTCAGGTACCTATTTGCTGCTAGGTGAACAGGACAACAGGTGTAAGGAAACGTGTCGAAATGTTTCCACCCGCCGGGAATCGAACCCGGGCCCTCCATGTGTGAAGCGGGAGCTTTAGCCACCAGGCCACTGGGAGGGAGGGGGTAAAGGAGGTTTTGTGTGTGAGGAGGCTTAGTGTACATTTGCACATTAGATAGGAGCGAGTGAATTCAAATGGTTTTTTATGATTTGATGTGCTGTTGGAGTGTGAGCAAAGTAACATTTTTGAAGGGATTCAAGGAGGTGGAAAGTACAGTGGACCCCCGCATAACGATTACCTCCGAATGCGACCAATTATGTAAGTGTATTTATGTAAGTGCGTTTGTACGTGTATGTTTGGGGGTCTGAAATGGACTAATCTACTTCACAATATTTCTTATGGGAACAAATTCGGTCAGTACTGGCACCTGAACATACTTCTGGAATGAAAAAATATCGTTAACCGGGAGTACACTGTACAGTGCCTGCACTCTGAAGAAGGGGTGTTGATATGTTGCAGTTTTTAAACTAGTTTAGGTGCACCTCTGGCAAGACAGTGATGGACTGAATGATGATGAAAGTGTTTCTTTTTTTTTTTTTGAGTCACCCTGTCTTGGTGGGAAATGGCCAACGTGTAAAAAAAAAAAATTATGTAATGCGGAAGATCCTCTTCAAATTAAATCTTTTCTTTTCTGTGGTTAATAAAAAAAACACAAACATAAAATGTGTACTTTGATGTTAATGTGTAGTTTGATGTTAATGTGTAGTTTGATGTTAATGTGTAGTTTGATGTTAATGTGTAGTTTGATGTTAATGTGTAGTTTGATGTTAATGTGTAGTTTGATGTTAATGTGTAGTTTGATGTTAATGTGTAGTTTGATGTTAATGTGTAGTTTGGTGTTAATGTGTAGTTTGATGTTAATGTGTAGTTTGGTGTTAATGTGTAGTTTGATGTTAATGTGTAGTTTGATGTTAATGTGTAGTTTGATGTTAATGTGTAGTTTGATGTTAATGTGTAGTTTGATGTTAATGTGTAATTTGATGTTAATGTGTAGTTTGATGTTAATGTGTAGTTTGATGTTAATGTGTAGTTTGATGTTAATGTGTAATTTGATGTTAATGTGTAGTTTGATGTTAATGTGTAGTTTGATGTTAATGTGTAGTTTGGTGTTAATGTGTAGTTTGGTGTTAATGTGTAGTTTGATGTTAATGTGTAGTTTGATGTTAATGTGTAGTTTGATGTTAATGTGTAATTTGATGTTAATGTGTAGTTTGATGTTAATGTGTAGTTTGATGTTAATGTGTAGTTTGGTGTTATGTGTAGTTTGATGTTAATGTGTAGTTTGATGTTAATGTGTAGTTTGATGTTAATGTGTAGTTTGATGTTAATGTGTAATTTGATGTTAATGTGTAGTTTGATGTTAATGTGTAGTTTGGTGTTAATGTGTAGTTTGATGTTAATGTGTAGTTTGATGTTAATGTGTAGTTTGATGTTAATGTGTATTTTTGATGTTAATGTGTAGTTTGGTGTTAATGTGTAGTTTGATGTTAATGTGTAGTTTGATGTTAATGTGTAGTTTGGTGTTAATGTGTAGTTTGATGTTAATGTGTAGTTTGATGTTAATGTGTAGTTTGATGTTAATGTGTAGTTTGATGTTAATGTGTAGTTTGGTGTTAATGTGTAGTTTGATGTTAATGTGTAGTTTGGTGTTAATGTGTAGTTTGATGTTAATGTGTAGTTTGATGTTAATGTGTAGTTTGGTGTTAATGTGTAGTTTGATGTTAGTGTAGTTTGATGTTAATGTGTACTTTGGTAAGTGTTAATGTGTAGTTTGATGTTAATGTGTAGTTTGATGTTAATGTGTAGTTTGATGTTAATGTGTAGTTTGATGTTAATGTGTAGTTTGATGTTAATGTGTAGTTTGATGTTAATGTGTAGTTTGGTGTTAATGTGTAGTTTGATGTTAATGTGTAGTTTGGTAAGTAAGTGTTATGTGTAGTTTGGTGTTAATGTGTAGTTTGATGTTAATGTGTAGTTTGATGTTAATGTGTAGTTTGGTGTTAATGTGTAGTTTGATGTTAATGTGTAGTTTGGTGTTAATGTGTAGTCTGATGTTAATGTGTAGTTTGGTAAGTAAGTGTTAATGTGTAGTTTGGTGTTAATGTGTAGTTTGGTAAGTAAGTGTTAATGTGTAGTTTGGTGTTAATGTGTAGTTTGGTAAGTAAGTGTTAATGTGTAGTTTGGTGTTAATGTGTAGTTTGGTAAGTAAGTGTTAATGTGTAGTTTGGTGTTAATGTGTAGTTTGATGTTAATGTGTAGTTTGATGTTAATGTGTAGTTTGATGTTAATGTGTAGTTTGATGTTAATGTGTAGTCTGATGTTAATGTGTAGTCTGATGTTAATGTGTAGTTTGGTAAGTAAGTGTTAATGTGTAGTTTGGTGTTAATGTGTAGTTTGATGTTAATGTGTAGTTTGATGTTAATGTGTAGTTTGATGTTAATGTGTAGTCTGATGTTAATGTGTAGTTTGATGTTAATGTGTAGTTGATGTTAATGTGTAGTCTGATGTTAATGTGTAGTTTGGTAAGTAAGTGTTAATGTGTAGTTTGGTGTTAATGTGTAGTCTGATGTTTATGTGTAGTTTGGTAAGTAAGTGTTAATGTGTAGTTTGGTGTTAATGTGTAGTTTGATGTTAATGTGTAGTTTGATGTTAATGTGTAGTTTGATGTTAATGTGTAGTCTGATGTTAATGTGTAGTTTGATGTTAATGTGTAGTCTGATGTTAATGTGTAGTTTGGTAAGTAAGTGTTAATGTGTAGTTTGGTGTTAACTGGAAAAAAATCTGATCATAGAATGGCTATACTGTTGTGAGCAGTAATAAAAATATATTGATAAAGAAAGCATATTTATATACTACTGTATTGTATGCATGAATGACAGGATGTGAGTAAAATCCAGAGATGCTGAATCCAGTTTTCCAGACACTGTTACTTATAATCATGGGAAGTGCTAAACCAGTAGGGGTCATACAGCGCATGGTTTGATCCGAGGAAGGGGTTAGTGACCCCAGTTACTATGATCAAAGCACCTCTCTCGACCTCTCAACGGCAGTTCAATGATACTCGTGAGGGGCTCATGATCCAAGGAATTAGATCTATCCTCCCCTTCCTTGGATCGGACGTAGAAGCCTCCCATTTCCCCAGCCGTTGCATGAACCCCCATTAATTTAGCATGACCCCATAAGGGGCTGACCCACCATACATACCTACAAGGGTAAATATCACCAAAACATGTTCCTTCATTCTGTATTTTTGCAGAGTTGAAATTAATAACTTTTAAGTAGTGGCACTGTAGTGTTAAACCAGCTGGCACTCGTTAAGAACAGCTGGCACTCGTTAAGAACAGCTGGCACTCGTTAACAACAGTTGGCACTCGTTAACAACAGCTGGCACTCGTTAACAACAGCTGGCACTCGTTAACAACAGCTAGCACTCGTGTTAACAGTTGGCACTGATAAGATTGCTTGATGGCGAGTGCCAACAAGGCTACACTGCAGCACCATTATATTTAGGCTATGTGTGCATTTACACTTTTTTTTTACACATGTCTTGAGGACAAAATGCTACAGCCATACAGAAAAAACATAACCAATGTAAATAAGGACCCCAATGTAAATAAGTAAGGAACCCAATGTGAATAAGTAAGGAACCCAATGTGAATAAGTAAGGAACCCAATGTGAATAAGTAAGGAACCCAATGTGAATAAGTAAGGAACCCAATGTGAATAAGTAAGGAACCCAATGTGAATAAGTAAGGAACCCAATGTAAATAAGTAAGGAACCCAATGTGAATAAGTAAGGAACCCAATGTGAATAAGTAAGGAACCCAATGTGAATAAGTAAGGAACCCAATGTGAATAAGTAAGGAACCCAATGTAAATAAGTAAGGAACCCAATGTGAATAAGTGAGGACCCCAATGTAAATAAGTAAGGAACCCAATGGAAACAAGTCACTGACTTTTTTTTTGGGTCATCCTGGGTAATTTAGACATATGTTACTATGGATGATAATCTATGTAACTGTATTTATGTGTATCTGTACCTAAATAAACTTACTTATGTTGATTTAACCCATGAAAACCCAATGAAGTTATGAGTTGACAATTATTCCAGCCATGGTGCTGTGGGTTAACAATTATTCCAGCCATGGTGCTGTGGGTTAACAATTATTCCAGCCATGGTGCTGTGGGTTAACAATTGTTCCAGCCATGGTGCTGTGGGTTAACAACTATTCCAGCCATGGTGCTGTGGGTTAACAATTATTCCAGCCATGGTGCTGTGGGTTAACAATTATTCCAGCCATGGTGCTGTGGGTTAACAATTATTCCAGCCATGGTGCTGTGGGTTAACTATTCCAGCCATGGTGCTGTGGGTTAACTATTCCAGCCATGGTGCTGTGGGTTAATTGTTCCAGCCATGGTGCTGTGGGTTAACAATTTTTCCAGCCATGGTGCTGTGGGTTAACAATTGTTCCAGCCATGGTGCTGTGGGTTAACAACTATTCCAGCCATGGTGCTGTGGGTTAACAACTATTCCAGCCATGGTGCTGTGGGTTAACAACTATTCCAGCCATAGTGCTGTGGGTTAACAATTATTCCAGCCATGGTGCTGTGGGTTAACAACTATTCCAGCCATGGTGCTGTGGGTTAACAATTATTCCAGCCATGGTGCTGTGGGTTAACAACTATTCCAGCCATGGTGCTGTGGGTTAACAACTATTCCAGCCATGGTGCTGTGGGTTAACAACTATTCCAGCCATAGTGCTGTGGGTTAACAATTATTCCAGCCATGGTGCTGTGGGTTAACTATTCCAGCCATGGTGCTGTGGGTTAACAACTATTCCAGCCATGGTGCTGTGGGTTAACAACTATTCCAGCCATGGTGCTGTGGGTTAACAACTATTCCAGCCATAGTGCTGTGGGTTAACAATTATTCCAGCCATGGTGCTGTGGGTTAACAATTGTTCCAGCCATGGTGCTGTGGGTTAACAATTGTTCCAGCCATGCTGTGGGTTAACAATTGTTCCAGCCATGATACTGTGGATAGAAAATTGTTCCAGCCATGGTACTGTGAATTGACAATTGTTCCAGCCATGGTACTGTGGATTGACAATTATTCCAGCCATGGTGCTGTGGGTTAACAATTGTTCCAGCCATGGTGCTGTGGGTTAACAATTGTTCCAGCCATGGTACTGTGGGTTAACAATTGTTCCAGTTGTGGAAAATACTGTATATATTTTCCAGAAATTCAGTATTTATATGTATATAGATGGCCATACTGTATTTAATAACATTTATGTCATAGAAAACAGAAAGCCTGCGTCTGCGCAGAAGGAGAGTCACCATTTTGTTTGAATTGAATAAAATGTTGTGAATAATGGGAAGAATTTTTCGTGCTCTAGAGGTTAAAATTGTGTTGACACCTCTCAAATAGGAGGCGAAATTGTTGGATGTGCATTCCTGCATAACTTGAGATATCAGACGACTGGACAAGACAGCTCCAGGAACCTCAGATAAGTCTTATGTAGTAACCTGGCCAGTGTTATTTTCATAGATAGACAGTGAGGTTTTCTGAGTATGATACACATTAATCTCCAGTCAAATTGGTGAGTGATATTAAGATATTTTCCTTCTGTTGTATAAATGTGCATATATATAATTCTTTATTATTTTTAATATACAGTCCACAAATTTATATATTTACCTGTATTCCTGGTGTATGTATATTTCATTTATAATTAATAGGTCCAGAGCAACTTGTGGTTATGACAGTGGTAGGTGTCGAAGGGGGACATTTTTTGCGACCTAGGTGTCCCAAATTCCTACTTATCTAACTGATAAATAATAATTATCTTTGTTATTTACTGTTATGTACATAATGATACATTCAGATAAATGCAGTTTTCCACACCAGTCATGGTACTGTGGATTGACAATTGTTCCAGCCATGGTACTGTGGATTGACAATTGTTCCAGCCATGGTGCTGTGGGTTAACAATTGTTCCAGCCATGGTACTGTGGACTGACAATTGCTCCAGCCATGGTGCTGTGGGTTGACATTTGTTCCAGCCATGGTGCTGTGGGTTAACAATTGTTCCAGTCATGGTACTGTGGATTGACAATTGTTCCAGCCATGGTGTTGTGGATTGACAAATTGTTCCAGCCATGGTGCTGTGGGTTGACATTTGTTCCAGCTATGGTGCTGTGGGTTGACAATTGTTCCAGCCATGGTGCTGTGGGTTAACAGTTGTTCCAGCCATGGTGCTGTGGGTTAACAATTGTTCCAGCCATGGCACTATGGATTGACAATTGTTCCAGCCATGGTGCTGTGGGTTAACAATTGTTCCAGCTATGGTGTTGTGGGTTAACAATTGTTCCAGCCATGGTGCTGTGGGTTAACAATTGTTCCAGCCATGGTACTGTGGATTGACAATTGTTCCAGCCATGGTGCTGTGGGTTAACAATTGTTCCAGCTATGGTACTGTGGGTTGACAAATTGTTCCAGCCATGGTGCTGTGGGTTGACAAATTGTTCCAGCCATGGTGCTGTGGGTTGACATTTGTTCCAGCTATGGTGCTGTGGGTTAACAATTGTTCCAGCCAGTGCTGTGGGTTGACATTGTTCCAGCTATTGCGCTGTGGGTTGACAATTGTTCCAGCTATGGTGCTGTGGGTTGACAATTGTTCCAGCTATTGTGCTGTGGGTTGACAATTGTTCCAGCTGTGGTGCTGTGGATTAAGTTGTTCCAGCTATTGTGCTGTGGGTTGACAATTGTTCCAGCTATTGTACTGTGGATTGACAATTGTTCCAGCCATGGTGCTGTGGATTGACATTTGTTCCAGCCATGATACTATGGATTAACAATTGTTCCATCCATGATACTGTGGACTGACAGTTGTTCCAGTCATGATACTGTGGATTGAAAATTGTTCCAGCCATGATACTATGGATTGACAATTGTTCCAGCCATGATACAATGGATTGACAATTGTTCCAGCCATGATACTATGGATTGACAATTGTTCCAGCCATGATACAATGGATTAACAATTGTTCCAGCCATGATACTATGGATTGACAATTGTCCCAGCCATGATCCTATGGATTGACAATTGTTCCAGCCATGATACAATGGATTGACAATTGTTCCAGCCACGATACTATGGATTGACAATTGTTCCAGCCATGATACTAGGGATTGACAATTGTTCCAATTATGATACTATGGATTGACAATTGTTCCAGCCATGATACTAGGGATTGACAATTGTTCCAGCCATGATACTAGGGATTGACAATTGTTCCAGCCATGATACAATGGATTGACAATTGTTCCAGCCATGATACTAGGGATTGACAATTGTTCCAGCCATGATACTATGGATTGACAATTGTTCCAGCCATGATACAATGGATTGACAATTGTTCCAGCCATGATATTATGGATTAACAATTGTTCCAGCCATGATACTATGGATTAACAATTGTTCCAGTCATGATACTATGGATTAACAATTGTTCCAGCCATGATACTATGGATTAACAATTGTTCCAGCCATGATACTATGGATTAACAATTGTTCCAGCCATGATACTATGAATTGACAATTGTTCCAGCCATGATACTATGGATTGACAATTGTTCCAGCCATGATACTATGGATTAACAATTGTTCCAGCCATGATACTATGGATTAACAATTGTTCCAGCCATGATCCTATGGATTGACAATTGTTTCAGCCATAATACTATGGATTAACAATTGTTCCAGCCATGATACTATGGATTAACAATTGTTCCAGCCATGATACTATGGATTAACAATTGTTCCAGCCATGATTCTATGGATTGACAATTGTTTCAGCCATAATACTATGTATTAACAATTGTTCCAGCCATGATACTATGGATTAACAATTGTTCCAGCCATGGTATTATTAGTTCATTCTTTCAAAATCTAACTTCTTGATGCACTGTTGTATGACGCTGACTGAACCTCCTCATTACAGTGTGCTCAGCACCATTTTTTTCCATAAGAAACTCCTCTTACAGTGCCACTCTGATTATACATATATAATTTTAAAAATTAGTTGTATATATAGATTAATTAATCATATTTTACTGCTAAAAACATTAATAATAAAAGGACAACATTGGCAACTATGAATGTCATATGATCAACACCACTGTCAGATGTAAAATAATAAGTGTAATTAAATAAAATATGAGTATGTGAATAAAATTGTATACTAGTTTATCTCATGTTTCAGTATATTTATTTAAAATTTCAAGAAAGTGGGGTAATAAAGCAGAATTCGGGTTTAATGGTGGGAAATATGAGGTACGAGCACTGGGTGGAGGGTGCCGGCAGCAAGCAGCATCACCTGACACTAGTAAACAAGATGGGAGCTGCTGTGGTACCTGTTGCTGTTGTTACCGGGTTTTGGGCCATAATTGGCATTATATTGCCTTTTATCGTGGCCAAGGGTCCAAATAAAGGTAGGTATTCTTCGCCGCTGTAAAGATTTTTATATATGCATGTGTATCTATTCACATTTGTGATGTTTGAAAGTGCGAGTTGATCTAGTGGCCCAAATAATATTTATTTCTACAAGTACATGATACAACTTATACAGACCATAGTTCACATCAATGACATACTACTATAGAGAAAGTCACTTGTTATGCTGAGCATTTCCCGCAAATTAGGTCAATTTTGTCGCCAGGATGCGACCCACACAAGTTCACTAACACCCAGGTACCTATTTTACTGCTAGGTGAACATGGACAGCAGGTGTCTTAAGGAAACACGTCCAGATGTTTCCAACCGTATCGGGGATCGAACCCCGGACCTGAGTGTGTGAGGTGAGTGCACTTGGGATCGAGCTACAGGACGCCTTAAGATGGAAATATGTCACATTGTTTAACTTGATCGGGTTATCCTGATCTAATTCCACATAATGTACAATGTAGGTGAATCTGCAATATATGTAAAACTTCACTCTGCCAGTCTTATCATTATGTAAATATGACACAATGTGGGGTTATGGCATTTTATTTACAAAGACCTTTCATCCTTGATAGGCACCTAAAGTCAGTTCCTGATCAGCCGGGCTGTGGCTCGTACGTTGGTTTGCGTGCATCCAGCGGCAACAGCCTGGTTGATCAGGCTCTGATCCACCAGGAGGCCTGGTCACAGACCGGGCCGCGGGGGCGTTGACCCCCGGAACTCTCTCCAGGTAAACTCCAGGTAATCTGCCAGGGAATTTTGCCAGTTCACAGTTATTAAGCCCTACCATTGTATTACCATATATTCATCGCCATGTTATCCCATCCACTTCCGGGGTTATTGCTGCCTTAGTCTTATAATGGCTTCTTTTACCCAGCTAAAGGTTCTATAGCTTTGGAGTTTTCTTGGCACTTCCCTCTCTGTTACAGGGTGACATTTTCTCTCAAAATACTTAATCTAGTTGACTAGTACTGTTCATTACTTTTACAGGTCAATAAGAAAATTCTTTTGACCTCTTTTTAATAGTTTTGTAAAATTGGATTTCCATGCAGTGTCTTTGCCTTTCAAAATCATCATCATCTTGTTTCAGTCTCTCAGTTCTCTCTCTGCTACCTTAGCATGTTCTTAATGGGGTTTTTTATAACCACATAACAGCATTTTAATGTACTTTAAAAAATCATGATTATCCTCTTCAGTGGCTCTTTTCATATTTATATCATACTACACTCGGTCCATTTGAATTTCACTCTGTTCATTTGTATTTCACTCTGTCCACTTGTATTTCACTCTGTCCATTTGTATTTCACTCTGTCCATTTGTATTTCACTCTGTCCATTTGTATTTCACTCTGTCCATTTGTATTTCACTCTGTCCATTTGTATTTCACTCTGTCCATTTGTATTTCACTCTGTCCATTTGTATTTCACTCTGTCCATTTGTATTTTGCTCTGTCCATTTGTATTTCACTCTGTCCATTTGTATTTCACTCTGTCCATTTGTATTTCACTCTGTCCATTTGTATTTCACTCTGTCCATTTGTATTTCATTTTGAAAAATTATATTTTTTTTCTTTCTTAGGGTGATACAAGTAGTGCTGGTGCTGACTGCATCAACATGTTGGCTGTTGTAAGTAGCTTTTAAATTCTCTCAGTCATTCAGAAAATATGTTCAGTATAGTACATCACTGTAGGTTTATACTATACCACTAGTAATACATTTTGTGTAATTCTTGCTAAACATTGAGTAAACAGATTTTGCTGAAGATGGTTTTTGTGTGGCGCAAGCTGTATAAGGACGATAAGAAGCACTTGTGCAATATTTGGGTAGCTTTATTGTGGAAACGTTTTGTCAGCCAGTGGCTTCGTCAGTCCAAAACAAAGAACATTGGAAGATGTGGAGTTTGAGGTAATCTGTCCTTCCACCTTTCTTCTTTGCTTTGAACTGATGAAGCCATTGGTTGGTAAAACATTGCCGTGAAAAAGATACCCAAATGTTGAACAAGTATCTCATTAATTTGTCAGTTTTCTAAGATATTTATAAAATAGCTGTATAATATTTGCAAACTTTGGTCTGCAGTAAATTCATTATCATGGAGATCAGAGGGAAATTTATTTCAGGGTCAATATTAGCACTAATGGACTATAATATAAGCAGTAAGAAATTAGTGATGAGGAAGAGTTAGAACTACCCAATGCTGTACTTCTAATAATAATAAAAGTGTTTTTAACATTATTATAAGTGAAAAATACCGAATACTTCAAAGTAATAATTTTACAAAGAATGGTGATATAATAAAAAAAACAGTAAACAACAAAGTTTAACCCTTTGAGGGTCGACAGGCCCTCTCCGAAACTCGTTCTCAGGGTCGGCCAAATTTAAAAAAAAAAAAATTATTTTCTCTTATGAAAAGATAGAGAATCTTTTCCCGATCATAACGACACCAAAAGTTTGAAATTTGATAGAAAACTTACGGAATTATGCTCTCGCAAAGTTAGCGGTCTCGGCGATGTTTACGGATCGGCGATTTTGCCCACTTTGAGCCCCATTTTCGGCCAATTTCACTGTACTAGTCGACAAAAAACATAAATATTTCGCTAGAACTCCATTTTTTCTATCGAATGGGTGCAAGAAACCACCCATTTATAAATTCAACTATCCAGTACAGTGGTCAGAATTTAGCAATTTTGCCAATTTCACACAAATTTCAAAAGATGCCAATTTCGGAATAGGGTCCAGAATAAACAAGAAAGACATTCCTGGCACTAAAATGACATTTCCTCTAGTCATTAGTCACGTCTCAAGGCCCCTCTTATATTCTTTTGCTTTCCACTTTGAATTTTTATTCTCACAAAAAATATAAGATTTACTGTTATGCAGACTACTGCATTAGTGTAAAAAATGGTATAAATATTATTGGTGCACTTGTGAAAGAATATTAGACTCACCAGTTGACGTGTATTGCACGCTTGGCACGATTTGTTTACTTTTGAAGTTTGGTAAAAATCGAACATTTCTGCTACTTTGAGCTCAATTTCAAGGCACCTTTCATTGTAAAACCAGTCAAAATCATCTCAATTTCAGTAATATGTCTTCCATTCTATAAAATGAGACCAAGAAAACTAGAATACAACAATAAATACTATACGAAAATACACTGCAAAGTCGCTGATTTATTAAAAAAAAATGGAAAAAGTTTTTTTTTTCTCATTATGCACCGTGTGCTGCAGGATTTTTTTTAGACTGCGCACACTGACCACATAGACCCATTCTTTCATATGAAGGCCTACCAGCTTTCTCCCACTAGATTTGAGGTCGCTAGAATTTATGAGTACTAGTACGTCAAAAACCCCTACGCGTAAGACGTACTAGTACGACGAAAACCCTCAAAGGGTTAATGACCCCATGAGAGATGTAGAATGAGGAAATATCATTGTGTATGAGTGGAAAACAGGCATAAACAAAGATGACATGAATCAAGAAAACACTAGACGTAAGAGTAAATACAGATTCTCATGTTTAAACAGACTTGTCTATGAGTGGAAGAATCTGCCAAGTACAACAGTAAAACAAGCTGAAACATTGGGGAGCTTAAAAAATAGGTTAGACAACTATGCGTATGAGTGAGAAGGATTGGGTTTGATTAGGATCTGCATGTCATAAAGGCATTGAAGCTTAATTTCTTGGATAGCTTCGGGAATAGATTGGACAAATACATAGGTGGGAATGGTTGGATTTGAGCATGACCTCCCTAGTATGAACCAGTAGACCTGCTGCAGTGTTCCTCCATTCTTATTAAACTTGTATAGTACTATTCTAATAATACATAGTGTAATTTATTAAGGAATATGTACATGTATATAGTAAGGCTTTGACATTACCAACTTTGGCATTATTAGGTATTTTTATATTTATTAACTTCAGTTTATGAAAATAATGTTAATTATCTGTAATATTTATTCATTTTTTCTCCAGGTATTATCTCTGAGGTTTATATCTCTAAATATATATATATGTATGCTGACAGTTTATTTTAATTCTTACTCTAGGGTATTCTTGACTGGTGGTGAATAGGTGACCTGCAGTTTCAGTTACGCCTCTTGTAGTTATTAAACTTTAAAGCCAATTAACCAAATTTATCTGAATATAGTAGACAATTTCATCTCAAAATTATCATATTCCTTGTTTAACATTTTCTGGTTTAGGTAGGAAATGTATATTGTATATTCACTATGTAAGGTAGGAAGGACTCCCTAGATGCAGTTGTACATCAGCACTTGTCTTTTTTCTAGCTGGCTTCTTTCTTATATGCATCAGATGAACCCTCTCATTGGACCACAACTGCACAACACAACCATTCTGGCCCTACTATACCTTTGGGTAAGTGTCATTATTTCCTCTGGGTTTTGTTAACCATCACATAACCTTACTAAGGATGAATTAGACACAAGTGCAGCACTTGGGTATCTTTATCGAGGAAATATTCACCACACAGTGGCTTTGTATAGGACTGATGAAGCCACTGTGTGGTGAAATATTTCCTCAATAAGGATACCCAAGTGTTGCACATGTGTCTAATTTATCAACTTGTCAGGTTTCTGAATCATTTATCTACACTTACTAAGGATCATTACAGAGAACATGCACTAGAAAGATTTTCTTTGCAAACAGTGTTAGGTCAGTTTAATGTGCCATAAGATGGGGGGGGGGGGTAGCAAGTGCTACAGCCACTAAAACAAGACACTTTAAGATGAACTAAATATAGTGGACCCTCAACATTCGATACTAATCCATTCCTGAGAGCTATCGAATGTCGAAAATATCGAAAGTCGAATTAATTTTCCCCATAAGAAATAATGGAAATCAAATTAATCCGTGCAAGACACCCAAAAGTATGAAAAAAAAGTTTTTACCACATGAAATATTAAGTTTAATGCAATAGAATAATTACAATAACAACAATAACAATAGATTAATAACAATAGAATAATTGACACTTACCTTTAATGAAGATCTGGTGATGATTGATGGGATGGGAGGAGGGGAGAGTGTGGATGGTGTTAGTATTTAGAAGGGGAATCCCCTTCCATTAGGACTTGAACTGGCAGCCTCACCATGCCTTACCAAACTGTGTATGCCACTACGATTCTTAAATCTTTCAAACCAACCTTTGCTGGCCTTAACTTCACTCACATCACCACTAGTTGCAGGCAATTCTTTACCAAATCATCATGCAATCCAACACACGCACTCCACTTTCGTACTTTGCAATTATCTCTTTCTTCATTTCAATAGTCATTAGCATGTTTTTTCTCGAAGGGTTGGCACTAGAAGCTTTCTTGGGGCCCATGGTTACTTATTTTGCAGAAACAAGCACCAAAAACAGTGATAATATGGATAATATGGAATGTACCAAATGTATCCTTAGATGCATGCACACTGGCTGGCTTGTAAACACTGGCACACATGGGGCAGTTCAGGTCACACATGGACACGTCTCATACGAATCGTATCAAATGTCGGGTTTTCCATCGAATGTTGAGGCGAAATTTTTGCGTTAAAATGCATCGAATGTCGGATTTATCGAATGTCGATGCCTTCAAATGTCGGGGGTCCACTGTACTGAAAACAGGATACCTTAAGATGAGCTTTGCTTCTGTAGCTACAAATAGGTAATCATATTAATAGAAATGTACAGTAGCTTTTGATGTATCTGTATATATATGGAGTTTTATCAGTACGTTAGTCCCAATTTTATGGATTAAAGTACTACAGTGGACCCCCGCATAACGATTACCTCCGAATGCGACCAATTATGTAAGTGCGTTTGTACGTGTATGTTTGGGGGTCTGAAATGGACTAATCTACATCACAATATTTCTTATGGGAACAAATTCGGTCAGTACTGGCACCTGAACATACTTCTGGAGTGAAAAAATATCGTTAACCGGGGGTCCACTGTATATTGTTAATGTTAGTGTGTAGCTAAATTATAGCCATAATGGTTCTTGTATATTAAATACAGCTAAAAAATCATTAGGATAAGTAATCCATTTTCTCACTTAGTATTGCTGGATATGATGATTCAGTCTGAAGTCTCATTCTTTTCATAACTTCTCCATTCTCATCTTAATGGTACAAATAAAGTTATACAAGACAACAAACCTCTGAATTGTCTATTTGAAAGGAATTCTCTTGTCAAAAGTAGGATCACTACTTAGGCACAAAATTTCATGTAACAAGAGGTATACCTTCCCTTTCTTTAGTTGATGTACAATTATTCTTCTTTCAACAAACTGGCCATATCCCACCGAGACAGGGTGGCCCAAAAAAGAAAAAAAAACAAAAGTTTCTCTTCTTTAGTAATGTATACAGAAGGGGTTACTAGCCCCTTCCTCCCAGCATTTTAGTCGCCTCTTACGACACGCATGGCTTACGGAGGAAGATTTCTATTCCACTTCCCCATGGGGATATGAGGAAATAAACAAAAATAAGAACTAGTAAGTAAATAGAAGAAAACCCAGAGGGGTGTGTATATATATATGCTTGTACAAGCATGTGTAGTGTGACCTAAGTGTAAGTAGAAGTAGCAAAACATACCTGAAATCTTGCATGTTTATGAGACAGATAAGACACTAGCAATCCTACCATCATGTAAAACAATTACAGGCTTTCGTTTTACACTCGGCAGGATGGTAGTACCTCCCTGGGTAGTTGTACACCTAGATGGTGCACAATTGTGTATGTTAAATGTTTTGTTATACTATGTTAGAATTATGAAGGAAAAATTGGTATTTTATAACTAGAAGAATGTCATGGCTGTTTGCTTAGCTGACATTTTGGCTGAACATATTTATTCTATTGTTATGAAGGATATGTTCCTATGGAGGTTATGCATCACTTCCTGAAGTCTGTGTGACAGAGTCAGTTTTAGACGTTTATAAACTGACAGTAGTTGACCCCGTAGTATAAGGTGCAAGTCACATCTTGCACTATAGGTAGGGAGAACCTTTTCTTCCTTCAGTATAGATTTAATAAGACATTATCAATAATTTTAGATACGACAATATCTGCGTGCCTCTTCAAAGACAGTAATTATGTATGAATGATGGTGAAAGTTTTTTCTTTCTTTTTGGGTTTTTCTTCTTTTTGGGCCACCTGCCTCAGTGGGAAATGACTGACATGTTAAAAAAAAAAAATCGACAGTTTTGAAAGGGAGTATTGTATTATACTACACATTCCTGTAGTTAAATACATTAATGTTAATTGGCCCTATCTTATAAGAAAATCAAATAGAATGGAATGGAATTTTAGGAGAAGGTAATACAGTGGCCAAATAGATAGTGCACCAAGGATAGTAGTTAAACATGGTGTGTAAATGACTACAATACAGTGGACCCCCGGTTAACGATATTTTTTCATTCCAGAAGTATGTTCAGGTGCCAGTACTGACTGAATTTGTTCCCATAAGGAATATTGTGAAGTAGATTAGTCCATTTCAGACCCCCAAACATACACGTACAAACGCACTTACATAAATACACTTACATAATTGGTCGCATTGGGAGGTGATCGTTAAGTGGGGGTCCACTGTATTTTTATTTTTGTAAACTTGTGAGTGCTTGTCTTTTTTAAGCAACATGATCTAAATATTTTTCTTTCTCAACAGGATGGGAACATAACATTGGAAGACTTACAGGCTTATCAACCTTCTGATGATTATGCCCATTCAGCAATTGAGTGAAGCTTATCTAGAATAAATTTGGAACTGAAGATATGTGGCCAATTTTTTAATATTTCTTGAACCTTCCATAAGATATATTATTGTAGAAATATAACTGGTATATAATATCAGTACTGTATATCATGTTTAATAAAATTTAATGTAAACTTCAAGGTAGATTATGAGTTTAATATTTCTGTATTTCTTATTTGTTTGCATTGCAATAATTTGTTAAAGATACAGTAATATCTCTTGTATTGAAAGTTTATTCACATTTGGAAAATACAAATGTTTTATGTATTAGCATTTTCCAGATACATTAAATAGAAAAGCTTTGTGATAGAATTTTTTTTTTTTTTTCAACAAGTCGGCCGTCTCCCACCGAGGCAGGGTGACCCAAGAAAGAAAGAAAATCCCCAAAAAGAAAATACTTTCATCATCATTCAACACTTTCATCTCACTCACACATAATCACTGTTTTTGCAGAGGTGCTCGGAATACAACAGTTTAGAAGCATATATGTATAAAGATACACAACATATCCCTCCAAACTGCTAGAAACTGATAGAAATATTTGTTGTAAAAGTCTCGTGTTACTGTATAACCAACCTTAATTTAAAATAACATTTATTCTTGCTGTGTTATTGAAGCATTAGTGTATGTAATGCTGATATATTCATAGTAACTTCCTTACATCTCAGGTTAACTGCATGTTCTTGATACTGCAATGTATAATTTAGTTGTTACCCCATTAACTGCAATCCACATAAATTTACGCAGGGGACCAAACTGTGTGGTGTAAATTTACATCTTATTTTCATGCTTCCATATTTACCGCCCGTCAACTTTGATGCCTCCATTCAGTAGTTTAGGTGTCCTACCACCTTGTGTCACCTGAGAAAATGTAAGGCCAATCACATCGTAACAGTGCTTCATGGGTAACAATGCTTCATCACAGGTAAACAAGATTTGTAGTACAGTAGGACTCCCGTATCCACTGGTCTGATATCTGCAGTTTCAGTTATTCATGGTTTACCATGGCCTGAAAATAACCCTTAATTTTGCTTAATAATAATGGCCTCAAAATGCAAAAGTAGTGATGGTAGCCGTGAAGTCCTTCCCATCAATGAAAAAGTGATAATTCTCCACTTATTGTGTATACTAATTTATCAGTCAAACTTTATAATAGGTATGTCTAGGACTTTCTTATAGGGTTTTCTACTATCCACATTTTTAGTATCTGTGGCAAGTCCTTGTAACTTATCCCTGTGGATATGGGGGTCTTACTGTATGCCACCCTGCATCTCTGACTGATTTCCATGTTTCGGCGGGTGTCATACCTTGAATAAATTGTAATATCATTGGGATTTCCTTGTAGATAGTGTTAGAAGATGAAAGCAATCAATAGAAACAAGAAAAAATTATATTGTATATGCTGTATTGGGCTATGCATTTTCCCTTAGTTTCAAGCAATGAAGCACATCTAATAGTATAAGAAACTAGGGTACATAGTGTTTAAACTTTTTTTTTTTTTTTTTGCAAACCTATCATAATTTGGCATAAATAAATAGGGAAGTAAATACCATTACATATGTTTATTTACAACAATGTTGCCAACTAGTGAATATTCTTTGCTAACTTCAGTATCACATAAAGCTAATTTTTTGTAAGATTTCATTTTTTCACAGTTCAGCAACATGCTTTTGAAGTGTTTTTTGTCTTTCAAAAGTTTGTTATGCACAAGAAAAACTGTCAGTCTGCCATATTTGAGCCAAGTTATATTTGTGTTAATTACCTGTTATAACCTGTATACAAATTGCCACCAATGATGATTGATGGTGTTCAGTGCTACTTACAAGGAACATATGTAAACAGAGGTGGAGGATCTTGCTTTTTTACTCCTACAGTAAATGTTATTTCTTTAAGACTGAGAATATATTCTCAGCAAAAACAAAAATATACAGGTTTTTTTGAGTGTATGTAGTTAACTTTGTAAATATTGACATATTCCACTGTCATTTCTCCTTAATGATTTAAAACAATGAATGGTTTATTGTAAAGTGGGAAGTGGTGTAACATATTTTAAATATATATCATTTATAGACTGTATTTTACTTTCTTTCTAATCCTTGGTAATGGAACAGTTCACAACTAATCCACAGATTGTAAATGAAAACTGGATAATGATTCTGTTCTTCCTAGGTTTTTATTACTTAACACAAAGTCACTTACCGAGGTAGGGTTACCCCTCCCTCACCCTCAAATAAAAAAAAAATTAGTTCAAGTGGTTTTCTTAATTGAATCATTCAAGAAAAATAATGGTTCATGATACACCAAAACATCCAGTTTTTATTTCTCATTTGTGGTGTAATGCAAATGTTTGTAATACTGTAGCATACTGTACAATGGGGTTCCATTTCTAAGAGTAGGTCAGTAAAGAAATTGGTCATTAAGCGAAGAGCATACTATACTGGTAGTGGGTTTGTGTCAACCATCTTTAGATATTTATTTAATGTCACCTTTGCTCCATTTGTAACATTTTTAGTATATTTTTAAATGTTTATACAGTAGTATACTGTATAGTAAACAGAACAGAGGAATTCAGCTCTAATATACATTACTTAGGTTTGCATACTGGTTGCTGAGCTGGTCGTAAGTCTGAGCGGTCGATAAATGAGTACATCACTAAGTGAGGAGAGGCTGTAATTATTATTATAAAAAAAGTTAAAACAATAGTAGAAGCAGCAGCACACAAAAAAGCATTAAATATTACACAAACACTTCAAGTAAAGTGCCTCAAAGCCAGCAAAGGGCCTTAAGTCCAAAGAATTGGAACTATCCTCCCTCTCTTTGGCACTGTATGACCCCTATGGGTTTAGCCCTCCCCATAATTATAATCATGGGGAAGCAGTAAACCTGTAGGATTATACAGTGCCTGTGGAGGAGGGGGGGATTGGAGCTGTGCTCCAGTTACCCGAGTTAATTCAAGGAACTGGAGCATAACTCCAATTCCCTAGATCAAGAGTCCCTCACTAGCATCAAGGAAGCTCCCTTGAGGAAAGCCCTCCCTATAAATGAAGTAACACAAGGTAAACTCTCCTCTACTTGTGAAACCTAAAATCAAGTGGAGTTAAGAACAACTGACATCACTGTTATTATTACTACTATATTATTATGTAGTAGTCATGTGGAAGGACTAAACCTATGAGTCGTTAGTGCTTGCAGGGAGTGTGAGCCAACTAGTGGGTGAAAATAAGATACAAGACAGTGTCAGCCTTTATTAGAAACAATAATAAAGTTTACATTGTTTTGTGTGTTTTTCTTCCATTATGATGTTCATGGGAAAGTGCTACACTTGTATTGGTCATGCAGCGCTTGGAAAATGGAAGGCAATTGGATTCAATCCAAGGATGAGGATAAGTCCAGTTCCTGAGACTGAGTCCAACATAAGCATTGAGGCACCATCCTTGAGGGGCCAAGGACGGGAAGAGTAGCTCCAATTCTTCAAATTAAGAGCCTTTTACCAGCATCAAGGCTATTTTTTAAATATGGTAATAAGGCCACTTTTAAAGACAGAATCAAGTCCATTTTTTAAAGGCCAACTAACACATGATGATGAATCTGATTTCCTTGGTAAAAATAGATTCACCATTATTCTTATTTCTGGTAATTATTATTATCAAAACAAAGCGCTAAACCATCTACGGTCTCAAGTAATTATTAAAATCAGAGAGAGGCACTAAACAAGAAGGGCCATCCGGCACCAGAGTAATAAGGAAGAGGAGGGTAGCACCAATAATTTGTATCAAGAGGTCTGCTTGACCAGCATTAAGGCAGTCAGTTGCCCTTGCCATGAAAGGTCACTCCGTGAAGCACTAGTAACATGAACATATGCAAGTCCTTCTGTCACAAATATTGTGTAGTTACTTTTACATTTCACCTCAAATACTGTCCTTTCAACCAATATTCAAATCCTTTCCTCCTGTGTATGCCCTGCCTTCTGAAGCGTCGGCTGTTCACATGCTTACTGGCTGAGCGAGTCAAGCTTTTTGACTATTGGTGGGTGGAGGATCGAACTTCCATCACTCCTTGTGCTGAACGACCCATTTGGGTTTAGCGTTTCATATACAGTAATATGAAAAATACCACAGAGAAAATAGGAAATAAAACCCTAGTGCTTTCATGTGCTTACACACACATTTTCTGAAGATGTGTGTGTAAGCACATGAAAGTGCTCCAGTTTTATTTCCTGTTTTCACTGGTATTTTTTAATATTTGCAATAATGGATTTTAGTGCAAGTTCTTCCATACAGTAAAATATAACAGTACGTATATAATATTCTTATGCAAACCTCTTTCACACATTCTTGCTTCTTAGTGCATCAGCCATCTATCACACTTGATTCACAATGAAACAAATAATAGAATGCCTTAAAAAAAAATTTTAACACATCGGTTGTTTCCAACCAAGGCAGGGTGGCCTGAAAAAGAAAAACTTTCATCATCATTTACTCCATCACTGTCTTGCCAGAGGCATGCTTACATTACAATTATAAAACTGCAACATTAACACCCCTCCTTCAGAGTGCAGACACTGTACTTCCCATCTCCAGGACTCAAGTCCGGCCTGCCGGTTTCCCTGAACCCCTTCATAAATGTTACCTTGCTTACACTCCAACAGCATGTCAAGTCCTAAAAACCATTTGTCTCCATTTGTTCCTGTCTAACATGCTTACTCATGCTTGCTGAAAGTCCAAGCCCCTCATACACAAAACCTCCTTTACCCCCTTCCTCCAACCTTTCCTAGGCCGACCCCTACCCCACCTTCCTTCCACTACAGATTTATACACTCTCGAAGTCATTCTATTTCGTTCCATCCTCTGTACATGTCCAAACCACCTCAACAGCCCCTCCTCAGCCCTCTGTATAATAGTTTTGGTAATCCCGCACCTCCTCCTAATCTCCAAACTACGGATTCTTTAACAAAAATTTCAATATATTTAAAATAATGTTCATGGATGGCTGAAATATATAAGGCCCCTTTCCTAAGAGATGGAAGTTTCCACTGAGAACAAGCTGTCCAAAATGGATATAGACAGACAGAGGTGTATTATGAATATATTAAAAGAAACATTAGACCCATATGAACTATACAGGATGGAGACACAGACAAAGCTAAAAGAAAAAGTACACGTATTTAATTATAAAGGTACTACAAATACAAAAACTGGGTACTAAGTACAATATGCAATGTACACAGTTGAAAAAATATTTGCTTTCCACAGTACTTTATCTTGTGATCTGCAAATAGTAATTTTGTAATTACAGTATTAAAGTGATTCATAATTATTTAAAAGGAAGTTTAGAGAGTGACTACATATGATACAGGAGCCAAACCTAATTCAAGTTACAAGAAATGTACAATATAATTTTAAAGCTAGTATAATATTCTTTCAAAAAATTTAACCATAGGGGAAGCAAAATACCCATCTTCAAAAACAAAACTGGTGCCATTAATAGCAATCTAACATATAAACTGAAGACAAGCCACAAAAGGATCAGAAGGTTCTATCCAGTCATGAAGTTATACACAGAGTAAAACAATCTCTTCTGTAATGTGTACCTCTTCTTTACTATATATAATGGCAGAACACAGCAAGTCTCCAACTTACAAATAAATCTGCTTTTGTTTTTTTACTTATTAACCAGTCGTTGATCTAGAGAATATTGGTACGAAGGTTAGCTGGGTTTCACACGTTTATACTGCATTTGGCATTGTAGAATTAATTGGTTGCTGAGTGATTCAATGGCTAGTGTACGTAGTGCTGTATGATCCTTATGGGTTCTGCACTTCCCAGCTAATATAATAATGTAAGTGTGCATATAACTTCTTCATGGGAAAGTGGAACAGAATTCTCCCTCCTTGAGTCGTGCGTGTCGTAAGAGGCAACTAAAATGCCGGGAGCAAAAGGCTAGTAACCCTTTCTCCTGTATACATTACTAAATTTAAAAGGAGAAGCTTTTGTTTTTTCCTTTCGGGCTGCCCCGCCTTGGTGGGATGTGGTCGGTGCATTGAAAGAAGTACATATAACTTGGGTATTTTTAAGCTGAGGACTTCCTGTACAGGGTAAAAAAATCTTACCAGTCTAGTATTCAGTAATAAATGAAATAAATGAACAAATGCAAGGTTAAATGACCATATGAAATAATAAAGGACTGAATCAAGGAATGAATGCAGAACAGCAAGAATGAGTGAATTCATACATAGATACAACACACACAATGTGTGTGTACAGGAGCAGCAGCAGTAGTGTGTATAGGTGTATGAATAAATAGCATGCGTGTCTCCATACATATTATATGTATACATACATGTATGAGCACTGGAGGGAAACACATGCCACGAGTTGGCATGATGTTATGCTATTCCTTTCTGATATTACAAGCCCAGCTGTTGCCCTCTCACATCTATACTAAATTACAGTATTCAGTTCTATGATTGGTGCATGCACAGGGAAGCGCTGAACTCATAAGGGTCCTACAGCGCCTGAGGAGAATGGGAAGCATTCAGGTTTAATCCAAGGAAGGAGAGGGCAGGTCCAATTCCTTGAATCAAGAGTCCTTCACTGTTAAATAATTCAGTAACACCAAGCATGGATAAAGATGTAAAATAACAAAACACAACACACTGTGGACAATATATTTTACAATATTTTGCAATACAAGCTTTCTCAAGTCTACAGAAAAATACATGAGCAAATATGATGCATTGCTAATTTTAAGAGCACACTCCACATGGTTTTTGTTTAACCACATCAATTATTTCCCCAGTAAGGTGGATTACCCTGAGGAAGCATTTCACACCACTCATTCAACTGTCTTGCCAGAAATTCTTGAACTTCACAGCTTTCAAAGATGAATTTTAAATTACCACAGATTCTTTTAGGAATTTAGAAATCTCCAGACATTTCTTTATCAGCAATAGGAAGAGGGCCATGAGAATCAGTGGAAAAAAAAGGAAAATCCCGAGAGCAGACAATCTTCGTACCAACGTGTTGCTAGGCTATATAAAGCTTCACCAAGACCTATCAACTTTCTGGTTTTAATATTGTCTGCAAAACAATCAAATTATTTGCAAAATAGTTTAACTAAAACCCAACACTTGTGAGACTACTGCTGGTGTATACATTATTTCATGTACCAGTAAGTAATCCATTAAAATTTCATTAACACAAGTAAAACTTGCACAGACCTAGGAGACAGTTATGGAAAGTGGTAAACCAGTAAGGATTATGTAGGGCTACATATAAAAGATGAAAGAGATGGTAGAGGGGAAGAGGCAGAGGTGCTGGGAAAAACAGCAGAAAGGACATAAAAGATGGGATATGTTGAGGTACTGAGACACACAGCAAAGGGGAGGGATAACAGAGAGAGGTGAAGGTGTTGAGGGAAGGATACCACTTATTTTTTTTTCCAACAAGTCGGCCGACTCCCACCGAGGCAGGGTGACCCAAAAAAGAAAGAAAATCCCCAAAAAGAAAATACAGTGGACCCCCGGTTAACGAACTTTTTTCATTCCAGTAGTATGTTCAGGTGCCAGTACTGACTGACTTTTTTCCCATAAGGAATATTGTGAAGTAGATTAGTCCATTTCAGACCCCCAAACATACACGTACAAACGCAATTACATAAATACACTTACATAATTGGTCGCATTTGGAGGTGATCGTTAAGCGGGGGTCCACTGTACTTTCATCATCATTCAACACTTTCATCTCACTCACACATAATCACTGTTTTTGCAGAGGTGCTCAGGATACAACAGTTTAGAAGCATATATGTATAAAGATACACAACATATCCTTCCAAACTGCCAATATCCCAAACTCCTCCTTTAGAGTGCAGGCAACATTGTACTTCCCATTTCCAGGACTCAAGTCCGGCTATATAAAAATAACCAGTTTCCCTGAATCCCTTCACTAAATATTACCCTGCTCACACTCCAACAGCTCGTCATGAGATCACTTATGTAGCAATAATATTAATGTTATTTATGAAATCATAGCACATTTCTATTAAAGGTGGGAAGGTTAGGGAGGAAGGCAGACATAGTAAGCACATGCTTGGAGAACCTAATTCATCAATGATAGTTGTTAACAACACATACTAACTCACATTCTCACTCCATGGATTAAGATGCAGCAACAGCCATTAAGGAATCAGAAAAAAAATAAGGAATTATGAATAGCCATTCAAAGGTATATAATCAGTAAAAAAGAAAGAAAGTTTTTCCCATGCTGCATCATCATTAGGTTACATCTGCTGGAGAACACTTTTCAACTAATCCACAAGTGGCTAAGTGGCCCACAAAACAATGTAACAACCTTCCCTTCTCATCTCCTTTGTTCCCTCTGCTCAATCAGATCTATACAGTATTATGTATTCTTGTGTGGAATAATAACTGGAAACTCTACAAATTGCAAGTAATACTGGATGACATTTCAGTCTCTCTTGTACCATTATCACATTCACGATTTGATAATAATAGACCAGAACAGATTGAAAAGCTATCTGACCTCATCTACAAATCAAGAGTCAGTTGTAAATTGGACTCTTGTGTATTTTTCAGTATACTTGAGAAACCTTGTAAAACAAATTGCTTGTAAAACTGATTCTCAAACCTACTGCTCTTTTGTTTAAGAAACTGCAATGCTCTCAACATCAAATACACAAATTTAGTTATTAAAATATATCTGAGTGCAAATAAAAAATTATATAAAAGAAGACTAAAAAAAAAAACTGAATTACTGAATATATCAACATGTATACTGTATATGGTTTTTGACATTTCCTATTCAAATATTTTTTCAAGGTATAAAAATTTATAATTAAAATAAATCTCCATCATGTATTTCAGTCTGAAGTCAATAACCACATATGGTTATTGATTAGCTCACATAATCACTATTTTTTCTTATGCAGAAATACCTTTCTCAGTTTTGTTCTTGGAAGTGTATCTGTCTTCATAGATCTGGTTGAGCGCTTTTCTTGATTCGATGATTGCTTCTTCGCCACATATTTTTTAGAATATTTACGTGAACCTTTCTTAGCTTTTTTATTTGTGTCAGAGTTAGTGCCATCATCAACAATGATATCACTTTGTGAACTGTTTCCAGTTTCAAGAAATTCCTTGACATTCTTGACCCTAGTAAATCTACCAGGAGGTGATCTTTTAGTCGAATCTGATGAAGTTACCAATTGTTTTAAACAAGGCAACGAGTCGTTACGTGTCCTCTCTGGACTCGTAACTGCTCTAGAACGTAGCAAGAATTTACTCTCCAACACTTTGTTTTTGTTTGCATATTTTGCACTCAACGTGTGTGTACCATTGTCAGCAATGCTCACACCTTGCTTACCATTTTCTTCACAGTAAAATTTGACTTTCTTATTGGTCATGTGTGAGTGCTCATTCATCTCTTCATCACTCTCACCGCTTTTCTCCATTTCTAATGCATCATGGTTTTTCTCTACAGTTTTATTACTCACCTGTTTTATCACAGTCTGTTTATGTTGTTTCTCACTAGACCTTTGTATGCTTTCTATTTTAGCAGGGCTTATCCGCTCAAGAACGAGCCTCATAGATTTACCTCTACTGGAGGGGGAAAGTTCTGAAAGTTGTTCCACTCCATCTTGGTCACATGACTTTCTCTTTTTGCCACTTTTGCTAACAACAACTGCTTTTGGTGACTGCACTGCATTATTTTCTGCTTGTACTTGTAACCGAGGCAGTGATTTGTCATTCATATTCCCTGTACTCAAATTATCTCCAGGACTCAACAGGCCTTCATTCCTCACGGGGGTATTTGTGTGTGTGTGTTGTGAATTCACCGTATCTGCACCAATGTTAACAATACTCACATCCTCTTCATCATGGTAAGATTGGTTAGATTCTTTATCAGTTATTTCATTTTCGCTATCTCCTGAAGCAGAGTGTTCGCTGTGTGAGTTCTCATTTACCTCTTTATCACTCTCGTTCCATTTCTCTGCTTCTGGTGCACCATAATTTTTCTTTATAGTTTTATCTCCCATCTGTTTTGTCACCTTTGATTGCCTGTGTTGTTTTTCACTAGACATATTTACATTTTTCATTCCATTGGGTTTTAGGCATTCAACAGTGCATCTCATAAAGTTACTTCTATTGAAGGGAGTACGGGGTGTAAGTTGCGCCATTTCATCCCGGTTATATAACTTTCTCTTTTTAACAACTTTATTCTTCACAACTGCTTTTGGTGACCGTGAAGTATGATTTCTCAATTTCTTCCCTCTGTTATCATTCTCATCTTCACCTTCAGAAGAAGACTGCTCATCTGATGTGCCTTTATTAGTGCACGTCTTTGCTTCATCATTTCTCAGTCTTTTTGAAACTTTTTCTATTTTTCCTCTTTTATTTCTTGAGTGTTGTCTGTTCGAATCATTTCTCTCAGTATCATCCTCTGTTCTTTCTTGGTTTTCTCTCTTGCGATGCAGTTTTTGCTTATTACTAACATCAGAGTCAGCATCTTGATCACTATATTCAGTACTTGAACGTGTCTCTATTTTGAAATATAGTCTTGACTGATGGCTCCCATTACTTATTACAAACTTTCCTGAAAAGTAAAAAATCAAAAGTAATGTATTACACTACCTATCTTCGTATATTCATTTATAATTTTTGTATAAAAAGCACAAGTAAATGATAATATATCTATGTGCTGCTTTGTAATAATGTAAAATAATGAATAAATAAAATTTACTACTCTATAACCTATGTCTAGTTTTCAGTTATTTGTAAACATTAGGACCAGTCTAATGTAAATCACAAATGTAAATTTGAAATAGTCATTCATGCACTCAGTTTCAAAAAATTTCCCTGCTCTTTAACACATACAACAAAATTATATTTACTATGATACAGATACCAGTACAGTGGACCCCCGCATAACGATTACCTCCGAATGCGACCAATTATGTAAGTGTATTTATGTAAGTGCGTTTGTACGTGTATGTTTGGGGGTCTGAAATGGACTAATCTACTTCACAATATTTCTTATGGGAACAAATTCGGTCAGTACTGGCACCTGAACATACTTCTGGAGTGAAAAAATATCGTTAACCGGGGGTCCACTGTATATTATTGTTCATAACTCAATGATTATTTCACCTCAACACTGCTTTATCTATCTGAATGTGACTTACATTCTTATTTCATTAAGAATGTTTTAAAAACTGTGAATATTACAGTGGTTTATTGAATCATCATTCAATTAAAATTCTGTATGTTGTTTCTCACTAGACCTTTGTATGCTTTCTATTTTAGCAGGGCTTATCCACTCAGGAGAGTTCTATTCTGTCTAATTATTATTATTATTACTAAAGGCTTTTTTTTTTTTTTCAACAAGTCGGCAGTCTCCCACCGAGGCAGGGTGACCCAAAAAAGAAAGAAAATCCCCAAAAAGAAAATACTTTCATCATCATTCAACACTTTCACCACACTCACACATTATCACTGCTTTTGCAGAGGTGCTCAGAATACAACAGTTTAGAAGCATATACGTATAAAGATACACAACATATCCCTCCAAACTGCCAGTAGTAATTAAAAAAAAATTGAGAATATTATGGTGGTTTATCTACGATACATAATTACTGGAAAGTATGTAAATAAGTGGTATGTTTTCCTATTGCACTCTATTTTATTCTTGTTAAAAAGGCTTATGTAATTAAAATATGCCAAGATATTTATCAGTTCATAGGTATTATAGGTAGTAGGTTGGTAGACAGCAACCGCCCAGGGTGGTACTACCGTCCTGCCAAGTGAGTGTAAAACGAAAGCCTGTAATTGTTTTACACGATGGTAGGATTGCTGGTGTCCATTTTTCTGTCTCATAAAATGCAAGATTTCAGGTACGTCTTGCTACTTCTACTTACACTTAGGTCACACTACACATACATGTACAAGCATACATATACACACACCCCTCTGGGTTTTCTTCTATTTTCTTTCTAGTTCTTGTTCTTGTTTATTTCCTCTTATCTCCATGGGGAAGTGGAACAGAATTCTTCCTCCGTAAGCCATGCATGTCGTAAGAGGCGACTAAAATGCCGGGAGAAAGAGGCTAGTAACCCCTTCTCCTGTATATATTACTAAATGTAAAAGAAGAAACCCGTGAGTGTCGTAAGAGGCAACTAAAATGCCGGAAGCAAGGGGCTAGTAACCCTTTCTCCTGTATACATTACTAAATTTAAAAAGAAAAACTTTCGTTTTTCTTTTTAGGTCACCCTGCCTCGCTGGGATATGACCAGTGCATTGAAAAAAATTATCAGTTTACATTTACTATAACTGAGTGCCCACAACAACAGTAGTAGTGACATTAAGGGCATTTTGATGGCATAGGTCATTCAGCACTCACAGCCAAAAAAAAAATATGTCCAACACAATAGCACGAGAATAATATCAACTAACACAACTTACCAGGTGGATGTTGGAAGTTTTCTATTTCCTCCCTTGATAAATTGAAGCTTCCCAGATGGTTAATGATATGTCTGCGGAATCGCTCCTTCAAGCTGAGCCATGTTCGTCCTCTCAGTCCACTAACTTTTGAGGCCATTAACTGCCACAGGCTCCTTCCACCAACCTGTTAAGTAAATAATAATATAAAATTACAGTGGAAAGAAACCAATTCATTAATCAATCATATTTTTACGGAATCTCCATGGGGTAATGGAAAAGAATTCTTCCTCCGTAAGCCATGCATATCATAAAAGGCAACTAAAATACCAGGAGCAAAGGGCTAGTAACCCCTTCTCCTGTATAATTACTACATGTGAAAAAAAACTTTTGTTTTTCTTTTTAGGTCACCCTGCCTCAGTGGGAGATGGCCGGTGTTTTGAAAACAAAATTTACAGCACTAATAACTAGTGCCAGTCACACAATAAGAAACTGTCACAAGGGATGTGAGGATAGGGAGGCAGCTAAAGATTAGGATGAGACACAGTGACAAAAGAAAGTACTTTTTTTTCAGTCTTAAGGTAGTAAGTTCTCCATGGGGAAGTGGAACAGAATTCTTCCTCCGTAAGCCATGCGTGTCATAAGAGGTGACTAAAATGCCGGGAGCAAGGGGCTAGTAACCCCTTCTCCTGTATATATTACTAAATTTAAAAGGAGAAACTTTTGTTTTTCCTTTAGGGCCACCCCACCTCAGTGGGATACGGCTAGTACGTTGAAAGAAGAAGAAGGTAGTAAGTGGAATGCACTGGATGCAGGAGAGGTGGAGGCTAAGAACAACTGTAACTACTCCTACTGACCACTGTTTAGTACATTTTTTGTGCTACCTCCCACCATTTAGTACAGTAGGGCCCCACTTATTCGGTAGGTTAGGTTCCAGGCTACTGCCGGAAAGCAGACTTCGCCGGAAAGCAGAACTCCATTTTTTTACATTTATAAATGCATATAAATGTCAGATAACAAGTTTACATTAACATATATTAAGTTAGCAATAGAACTAGGCAAGTGTCTGATACTGATACCACCAAGCAAGATGACGCTGTTACCAAGCAAGCAACACTACTGCCCCTCTCAGAAACACTTCCTGCTACTTCTGACAGTAAAAGTAAAATACACACAGTACACTCATTATTTACCTCAAAATATTTGTAGTCTTAATGTAGGGCAAAAGGTGAGTAGTATTTACTCTAAGAAGTCAGGTGTGGTAGCCCTCCTGGCCACCCCACCCACACATACTATACTATGATGCTTAAAGCTCCCTAGAGCAATAAAATGCATATACAGTACACGCATTACTTACCTTAAAATATTTGTAGTCTTAATGGTCTTAATATAGGGTGAGAGGTGAAAAGTATTTATTTGTAGAAAGTCGTGTGGGAGGTATGGCATCCTGCCTGGCCACTTATACCTACTATGACATTAAGCTCCCTAGAGCAAAAAGATGCATATATAGTACACTCATTAATTACCTTAAAATATTTGTAGTCTTAATGTAGGGTGAGAGGTGAGTTTTATTTGTATGAAGTCAGGTTGCGAAGTATGGGTAGCCAGGAAGGGCAGCCCTCGCCACCCCACCCATCCACATATGGCGTAAACAAACCAGATGAATGCGTCTGGTTTTCGTCACAAGTCCTACAAGTTGCCTGGCTACCACAAGTCCTACAAGTCGCCTGGCTACCGCATCTCATATTTATGTTAATTTATTCAACTGTGGGGTGTATTTAGATGGATTAAGCAAAATGTCTATATTAACATTTTATACGATATTTAATGCTCCTCTGAGTGATTATTATTGTGTTATTATTATTATCATCATTAATATGGAATCTTCAAGACAAATAAGACACTTTTAGTGATTTTAATGTGTACCTGCATGCCAGCACAGTGTGTAAGTTTACTTAGGTACAGGTACACTTACGTATAATTCTCAGTTATAATAATAATGTAGGTATGTAGTCTGCCTGGGCTACATACCTACATGATATTTAATGTGGCCCAGAGCCATATTATTACCATCGACATACCATGTTCACCGAGTTTAATTGTTTCTAACAACTACCTTTAGATGCCATCATAAACAAAGGGAGAAGTAATGAATAATTCAAGCCAAGAATTGTAAACAAAAGTGTTATGTATTAAGGAGAGTGACATAATGTTTTCCCTCCGCCCAGCTACCACACCTCCATAGTACATAAACAAAATGTTTATATGTTATGTAACGTGTTTCTTACATAATTTTGAAGAAAATATAACAGATGGATTAATGAAAATGTCTATATTAACATAAAATAAGACATTTAATGTGCCCAAGAGTGACTATTATTAGTATTACGTAATGTTTTCCCTCCAGCTGGCAACCACACCTCCACAGCATATAAACAGCATGTTTATATGCTATGTAATGTGTTTCTTATATAATTTTGAAGAAAATATCATAGATGGATTAATGAAAATGTCTATATTGATGTAAAATTAGACATTTAATGTGCCCAAGGTGATTGTTATTACGTAACAGAGAGATGTGCTCATGGAGAATGTAAACAAACCAGGTAGCCCTTGCCATATTTGAAACACCACTTGCCGTACAGAAAGTTCTGGTCATAATTTGAGATCGCCGTATTAGCGAAATGCCTTAGGGCAAAATGCCGAAAAGCGGGGCCCTACTGTACATATCTTGGGCCACTCACCACTGTTTATTACAGGTTTGTGTTTGGGTAAGAGACTATGTTAATACGTATTCTTAAAATGGATACCTGGAGGGTGTTCCAAGGGTCAATGCCCCTGCAACCCAGTCCATGCCCAGGATGATTGAGTTACTTTCCTACAATACTACTGATAGAAATCTCTCATTACTGTAACATACCTCAGAATACCTCCTGGTCTTAACAATGAAGTCCACAATTAACCGGTCTTCGTGGTGCAAATAATTTCGTCTACGATTTTCCTCTCCCTCAGTCCTTGCTGGTTCAGCTGAAAAAAAAAATTTAAATTATAAAGTTAAGATAATCATGATATGATTTTTTTAATTAGACGAAGCACTAGCCTCGTATATCACAACAATCTTCGAAAGAGTTTTGAGATATCAAATTACTGACTTTATGGAAAAATATAAGCTATACAACCCAAGTCAACATGGCACTAGAGCAGAAAGATCTTGCCTATCACAACTATTAGAGCACCAGGACAAAATTATGAAGGCCTTATAAGAAAAAGAAAATGCTGATGTAATTTAAACGGATATAGGAGAAAGGTGCTTATGACAACGTTTAAGTTCAACTTCGACCATTGACTAGACCCAGTAGTGTAACTGGTTGATGGTCCAAGTCAGACAAAAACATCGTCATATCCTTCTTTCTCCTACATGCGGGTTATCTGTGTACAGATCTCCCTCAACATTCGCATTTTCAACTTTCACGGGCTTCACACATTCGCGAATTCCCAACCTTCAAATTCCCAGCCGCCAAATCATATTTAAGTTTACCGCCAAGAGTTCTTACTACCCTCCCTCCGACCCCCACAACTGGCAGCCAGCCCTCCCACCACTGTGTGGTGAGTGTTTTGTTTGTTCATTATTTGCTATTAAACTACAGTATAAATAATGTCAACCCATCCATGACTGCATATTAGAATGGCTATTCAGACAGGTATTGGAAGGTGACATCATGTGTTTACTCTTGAACACAGCAAATAATCAAACATTTCTGCTACTGCTAATAATAATAATAATAATAATAATAATAATAATAATAATAATAATAATAATAATAATAATAATAATAATATTACAACAATAATAATAATAATAATAATAATAATAATAATAATAATAATAATAAATACGATAGAATTGAAGAAGGAAATTGTACAAAAATACGAGGGTTGAAGCAGTGGTGGAGGAAGTGGTTGATGCATCGTCAGTGTGGTTTTGTTTATGCTGGAGTGAGCATTAGTCTCCGTGCTCTTCCAAACATTTCACAATAATTCATTGTATTTGGTGCTTGTAGATTGAGTGTGACTGGAGTGGTTGAGGCAGTGGTAGAGGCAGTTATAGAGGCAGTTATAGAGGCAGTTATAGAGGCAGTGGTAGAGGCAGTTATAGAGGCAGTTATAGAGGCAGTGGTAGAGGCAGTTATAAGAGGCAGTGGTAGAGGCAGTGGTAGAGGCAGTGGTAGAGGCAGTGGTAGAGGCAATGGGTGAGGCAGTGGTAGAGGCAGTGGGTGAGGCAGCAGTTGAGGCAGTGGTAGAGGCAGTGATAGAGGCAGTGGGTGAGGCAGTGGTAGAGGCAGTGATATTTACTAACATACAGTGGACCCCCGCATAACGATTACCTCCGAATGCGACCAATTATGTAAGTGCGTTTGTACGTGTATGTTTGGGGGTCTGAAATGGACTAATCTACTTCACATATTTCTTATGGGAACAAATTCGGTCAGTACTGGCACCTGAACATACTTCTGGAGTGAAAAAATATCGTTAACCGGGGGTCCACTGTATATGTTATAAATAATAATAGTACATTATGAATAACATTTATTATTATTATTATTATTATAAATGTTAATATTAATATGTACTATTATTATTTATAACATATATGTTAGTAAATACCACTGCCTCACCCACTGCCTCTATCACTGCCTCTACCACTGCCTCACCCACTGCCTCACCCACTGCCTCTACCACTGCCTCTATCACTGCCTCTATCACTGCCTCTACCACTGCCTCACCCACTGCCTCTACCACTGCCTCTATCACTGCCTCTATCACTGCCTCTACCACTGCCTCACCCACTGCCTCACCCACTGCCTCTATCACTGCCTCTATCACTGCCTCCTCTACCACTGCCTCTACCACTGCCTCTACCACTGCCTCTACCACTGCCTCTACCACTCCAGTCACACTCATTCTACAAGCACCAAATACAATGAATTATTGTGAAATGTTTGGAAGAGCACGGAGACTAATACTCACTCCAGCATAAACAAAGCCACACTGACGATGCGTCAACCACTTCCTCCACCACTGCTTCAACCCTCATATTTTTGTACAATTTCCTTCTTCAATTCTATCGTATTTATTATTATTATTATTATTATTATTAGCAGTAGCAGTAGCACAAATGTTTGATTCTTTGCTGTGTTCAAGAGTAAACACATGATGTCACCTTCCAATACCTGTCCGAATAGCCATTCCAATATGCAGTCATAAATGGGTTGACATTATTTATACTGTAGTTTAATAGCAAATAATGAACAAACAAAACACTCACCACACAGTGGTGGGAGGTCTGGCTGCCAGTTGTGGGGGTCAGATGGAGGGTAGTAGGGACTCGCAATGGTGGAGGCAGTGGTATTTAATAACATACATGTTATTAAGCCATAACGTATGTATTTAGTACAATTTACGACGTGTTCATGTATTTTATGATTGTTCATGGTTCGATAAGTTAAGGAAGCAGTATTGTATTATATTTCCCTACAATATATTGGGGCACCAAACATTCGCGATTTTTCAACATTCGCGAGGCTCTTGATCCCCTAACCCTCGTGAATGTTGAGGGAGACCTGTATTGTTCTAGTCACGGTATTATGCCTTTCTCTTTACTTCACCTGACAAATGTGACCATGGAGCAAAAGGTCATAAAATGAAGTCAATAGGCATGAATCCCATACATAAAAGACACATTTCACACAACACAACAAAGCAACCACACTCTTGAACTCTCTGGCGGTGATAAATATATACAACCTCTCCTCACTTAGCAACGGAGTTCCGTTCCTAAGACCACGTTGGTAAATGAATTCATTGCTAAGTGAGGAGCATACTATAATGGTAGTGGGTGTGTCTCAACTATATTTGGTATTGTTTTAATGTCACTTTTGCACCATTCATAACATTTCTGGTATATTTTTAAATGTTCATAAAGTAGTGTACTGGATAATGTATTAAACAGAATAGACGAAATCAGCTTTAATATACATTATTTAGGTATGCATACTAGTCCGAGCCCATCGTAAGTTCGAGTTGTTGGTAAACAAATACGTCGCTAAGTGAGGAGAGGCTGTAATCAAGAGCATCTGCAATTGCTAGCATGTTAAAATACTGTAGAACAAACCTAAACAAACTATATACTATATAAACATACTAATGAACTGAAAAACACTACATAGTTTACCTTGTATTTCAAAAGGAATTTTAGACATAAACCTTAACATGGTATTCTCTGAGACTCCAAATTGTAAATAACAATGAAGACGAGGGTAAATTCTTTTCTTGAATCGCTCCTTTAGGCCATGCCAACTGCGCTCTGAAAGAAATAATACTTTTAAACAGTGATAATCACCATATACGTACAGCATTGTATATGCTATCCAGAACACTTAATACTATCACAAGAATCATCATATATCAAATATGTTATTTTTTTTTTTCAACAAGTCGGCCGTCTCCCACCGAGGCAGGGTGACCCAAAAAGAAAGAAAATCCCCAAAAAGAAAATACTTTCATCATCATTCAACACTTTCACCTTACTCACATATAATCACTGTCTTTGCAGAGATGCTCAGTTACAACAGTTTAGAAACATATATAAAGATACATAACATGCATATTTTTTTTTTTCAACACACCGGCCGTATCCCACCAAGTGATGGTGGCCCAAAAAGAAAAATGAAAGTTTATCTTTTTAAATTTAGTAATTTATACAGGAGAAGGGGTTACTAGGCCTTGCTCCCGGCATTTTAGTCGCCTCTTACAACACGCATGGCATACGGAGGAAGAATTCTGTTCCACTTCCCCATGGAGATAAGAGGAAATAAACAAGAACAAGAACTAGTAAGAAAATAGAAGAAAACCCAGAGGGGTGTGTATATATATACTTGTACATGTATGTGTAATGTGACCTAAGTGTAAGTAAAAGTAGCAAGATGTACCTGAAATCTTGCATGTTTATGAGACAGAAAAAAGACACCACCAATCCTACCATCATGTAAAACAATTACAGGTTACCGTTTTACACTCACTTGGCAGGACGGTAGTAACTCCCTGGGCGGTTGCTGTCTACCAACCTACTACCTATAAAAACATACATGTAAAAAGATTTATACATTTTTTTTTTTTCAACAAGTCGGTCGTCTCCCACCGAGGCAGGGTGACCCAAAAAAGAAAGAAAATCCCCAAAAAGAAAATGCTTTCATCATCATTCAACACTTTCACCACACTCAAACATTATCACTGTTTTTGCAGAGGTGCTCAGAATACAACAGTTTAGAAGCATATACATATAAAGATACACAACATATCCCTCCAAACTGCCAATATCCCAAACCCCTCCTTTAAAGTGCAGGCATTGTACTTCCCATTTCCAGGACTCAAGTCCGAATACATGTATATGAAAATAACCGGTTTCCCTGAATCCCTTCACTAAATATTATCCTGCTCACACTCCAACAGATCGTCAGGTCCCAAGTACCATAGTTAGTTAGTTTAATATGTTTATTATGCACCCCATACCCATCCTGTGGGCGGTAGTCAAAAGATTACAGAGGTACATAATTGGTCCAGGGACTGGACTCCAAAGTTTTGATAGCTTAGCAAGTTACAGAAATAATGAATTCACAATTTACAAAGGTAATGAACTCACAAATTACAAAGGTAATGAGCTCCGGGTAGGTCTAGTCACAATCATGACAAGTTACAAAGGTATTTACAGATTACAGAGGTACGTAATGGATCCAGGGACTGGGCCCCAAAGTTTGGATGGCTGAACTAGGTACAAGGTAATGAACTCACAAGTTACAAAGGTAGTGAATACTGTAAGAATGGTTACTTACGTTTATACATGGCTACAATCATGAACAAATTATAGTGTAATGAGCAATTCACACTTCCACACCCGGTCACAACTGTAATGAGTTATTGGTGCAAATATTGATTGTTGAGTCACACACACACACACATAAACACACACACACACACACACACACACACACACACACACACACACACACACACACACACACACACACACACACACACACACACACACACACACAAGTACCATTCGTCTCCATTCACTCCTATCTAACATGTTCACGCACGCTTGCTGGAAAGTCCAAGCCCCTCGCCCACAAAACCTCCTTTACCCCCTCTCTCCAACCCTTTCGAGGTCGACCCCTACCTCGCCTTCCTTCCCCTATAGATTTATATGCTTTCCATGTCATTCTACTTTGATCCATTCTCTCTAAATGACCAAACCACCTCAACAACCCCTCTTCTGCCCTCTGACTAATACTTTTATTAACTCCACACCTTTTCCTAATTTCCACACTCCGAATTTTCTGCATAATATTTACACCACACATTGCCCTTAGACAGGACATCTCCACTGCCTCCAACCGTCTCCTCGCTGCTGCATTTACCACCCAAGCTTCACACCCATATAAGAGTGTTGGTACTACTATACTTTCATACATTCCATTCTTTGCCTCCATAGATAACGTTTTTTGACTCCACATATACCTCAATGCACCACTCACCTTTTTCCCCTCATCATTTCTATGATTAACCTCATCCTTCATAAATCCATCCGCCAACACGTCAACTCCCAAGTATCTGAAAACATTCGCTTCTTCCATACTCCTCCTCCCCAATTTGATATTCAATTTTTCTTTATCTAAATTATTTGATACCCTCATCACCTTACTCTTTTCTATGTTCACTTTCAACTTTCTACCTTTACACACATTCCCAAACTCATCCACTAACCTTTGCAATTTTTCTTTAGAATCTCCCATAAACACAGTATCATCAGCAAAAAGTAACTGTGTCAATTCCCATTTTGAATTTGATTCCCCATAATTTAATCCCACCCCTCTCCCGAACACCCTAGCATTTACTTCTTTTACAACCCCATCTATAAATATATTAAACAACCATGGCAACATTACACATCCTGCCAAGTGAGTGTAAAATGAAAGCCTGTAATTGTTTTACATGATGGTAGGATTGTTGGTGTCTTTTGTCTGTATCATAAACATGCAAGATTTCAGGTACGTCTTGCTACTTCTACTTACACTTTGGTCACACTACACATACGTTTTTTTTTTTTTCAACAAGTCGGCCGTCTCCCACCGAGGCAGGGTGACCCAAAAAAAGAAAGAAAATCCCCAAAAAGAAAATACTTTCATCATCATTCAACACTTTCACCTCATTCACACAAAATCACTGTTTTTGCAGAGGTGCTCAGAACACAACAGTTTAGAAGCATATATGTATAAAGATACACAACATGTACAAGCATATATATACACACCCCTCTGGGGTTTCTTATATTTTCTTTCTAGTTCTTGTTCTTGTTTATTTCCTCTTATCTCCATGGGGAAGTGGAACAAAATTCTTCCTCCATAAGCCATACGTGTTGTAAGAGGCGACTAAAATGCCGGGAGCAAGGAGCTAGTAACCCCTTGTATAAATTACTAAATTTAAAAAGAGAAACTTTCGTTTTTCATTTTTGGGCCACCCTGCCTTGGTGGGATACGGCCGGTTTGTTGAAAGAAGAAGATATACATATCTAGTACACTACAATAGTCATGATAATCACCATACATGAGGGCCCTGTTTATAGAGCAGGTTTGGTTCCAGGCTACAGCCATAAAGCCAGTCACTCTTTGTCCATGGGGAAGTGGAAAAGAATCTTTCCTCCGTAAGCCATACGTGTCGTATGAGGCGACTAAAATGCCAGGAGCAATGGGCTAGTAACCCCTTCTCCTGTAAACATTTACTAAAAAATGAGAAGAAGAAAAACTTTATAAAACTGGGATGCTTGAATGTGCGTGGATGTAGTGCAGATGACAAGAAACAGATGATTGCTGATGTTATGAATGAAAAGAAGTTGAATGTCCTGGCCCTAAGAGAAACAAAGCTGAAGGGGGAAGGGGAGTTTTGATGGGGAGAAATAAATGGGATTAAATCTGGAGTATCTGAGAGAGTTAGAGCTAAGGAAGGGGTAGCAATAATGCTGAAGGATCAGTTATGGAAGGAGAAAAGCGAATATGAATGTGTAAATTCAAGGATTATGTGGATTAAAGTAATGGTTGGATGTGAAAAGTGGGTCATAATAAGCGTGTATGCACCTAGAGAAGAGAGGAATGTAGAGGAGAGAGAGAGATTTTGGGAGATGTTAAGTGAATGTATAGGAACCTTTGAGAGGGTGTGGTAGGGAAGTTTGGGGTGCCAGGTGTAAATGATAATGGGAGCCCTTTGATTGAACTTTGTATAGAAAGGGGTTTAGTTACAGGTAATACATATTTTAAGAAAAAGAGGATAAATAAGTATACAAGATATAATATAGGGTAAAATGACAGTAGTTTGTTGGATTATGTATTGGTAGATAGAAAACTGTTGAGTAGACTTCAGGATGTACATGTTTATAGAGGGGCCACAGATATATCAGATCACTTTCTAGTTGTAGCTACACTGAGAGTAAAAGGTAAATGGGATACAAGGAGAATAGAAGCATCAGGGAAGAGAGAGGTGAAGGTTTAAAAACTAAAAGAGGAGGCAGTTAGGGTAAGATATAAACAACTATTGGAGGATAGATGGGCTAATGAGAGCATAGGCAATGGGGTCGAAGAGGTATGGGGTAAGTTTAAAAATGTAGTGTTAGAGTGTTCAGCAGAAGCTTGTGGTTACAGAAAAGTGGGTGCGGGAAGGAAGAGGAGCAATTGGTGGAATGATGATGTAAAGAGAGTAGTAAGGGAGAAAAAGTTAGCATATGAGAAGTTATTACAAAGTAGAAGTGATGCAAGGAGGGAAGAGTATATGGAGAAAAAGAGAGAGGTTAAGAGAGTGGTGAAGCAATGTAAAAAGAATGCAAATGAGAGAGTGGGTGAGATGTTATCAACAAATTTTGTTGAAAATAAGAAAAAGTTTTGGAGTGAGATTAACAAGTTAAGGAAGCCTAGAGAACAAATGGATTTGTCAGTTAAAAATAGGAGAGGAGAGTTATTAAATGGAGAGTTAGAGGTACTTGGAAGATGGAGGGAATATTCTGAAGAATTGTTAAATGTTGATGAAGATAGGGAAGCTGTGATTTCGTGTATAGGGCAAGGAGGAATAACATCTCGTAGGAGTGAGGAAGAGCCAGTTGTGAGTGTGGGAGAAGTTCGTGAGGCAGTAGATAAAATGAAAGGGGGTAAAACAGGTGGGATTGATGGGATAAAGATAGAAATGTTAAAAACAGGTGGGGATATAGTTTTGGAGTGGTTGGTGCTATTATTTAATAAATGTATGGAAGAGGGTAAGGTA